ATTGTATGATTTTTAAGTAATTAATTTGCATTTTATTGCATGACATAAGTATTTGATACATCAGAAAAGCAGAACTTAATATTTGGTACAGAAACCTTTGTTTGCAATTACAGAGATCATACGTTTCCTGTAGGTCTTGACCAGGTTTGCACACACTGCAGCAGGGATTTTGGCCCACTCCTCCATACAGACCTTCTCCAGATCCTTCAGGTTTCGGGGCTGTCGCTGGACAATACAGACTTTCAGCTCCCTCCAAAGATTTTCTATTGGGTTCAGGTCTGGAGACTGGCTAGGCCACTCCAGGACCTTGAGATGCTTCTTACGGAGCCACTCCTTAGTTGCCCTGGCTGTGTGTTTCGGGTCGATGTCATGCTGGAAGACCCAGCCACGACCCATCTTCAATGCTCTTACTGAGGGAAGGAGGTTGTTGGCCAAGATCTCGCGATACATGGCCCCATCCATCCTCCCCTCAATACGGTGCAGTCGTCCTGTCCCCTCTGCATACAGCCTTTGTGTCCTGTCCATCTGGTCAGGGTAAACTAATTGGTAACGTTAGGTATTTATAGTCCATTTGTGTGTCAGGAGAAAGTGTGAATGTGATCAAATTTGGTTTATATTCAAACTTGGGCTGGCTATATACATTTTCAATCCAAAAGGAATTAATCAATCAACATAATATTGATGACATAGACTGAGTACGTTTTTTAATTAGGCCTACAGTCCCATAGGCCGGCTAGCTCAGCCCTGTGAGTTCAATTGTCCCTCAGTTGTTGTCTCTGTATCTGGGTAGAGGAACCCCCCCCCTCCCCCCTGTTAGTCTAGTCTAAATATAATTCAATATAATTCATATGAACAAGTAAGGTTGCTGCAGTTTGCCAGGGTTTTCATCCCCCCCAGGGCCAGGAGTTGTTTTTAAACCATGTGACCTGATTAGGAAAACCTGGTCCCGTCATACAACCTTTTTACAACTGATTAATCACTGTCATAGCTTATAGGCTCCAGAGTTTTCCTGGTTAGGTTACCAGATAAGGAAGAACTCCAGGCCCCAGGGGGTAAAAATTGCCCCTTCCTACTGTGGGGCCTATGATGCCACCAGTCTGCTTGCAGTTGTCCAGTTATCGTCAGTTATGTGGATGATCAGGGCTTTATTCAGGAACGTTTCTTGGGCTACTTTGATGTGTCAAGTGGGACGAGATGCACAGTCTTTGTTTGACCTTGTGAATTCTGAGATGTCTGAGTTTAACTTCATGGAGAAACTTGTTTCTCAAACCTACGATGGCGCAGCTGTAATAGAATGTATCTGCTATTTGTATTTCCAGCTTAAGTCCCCTCCTGTTCCCTGATTTTAAAGAAGTGATGACCACTTCACTCATTTTTAAAATTTTTTACATTTTTAGTCATTTAGCAGACGCTCTTATCCAGAGCGACTTACAGTTAGTGAGTCCATACATTTATTTTATTTTTTTCATACCCCCGTGGGAATCGAACCCACAACCCTGGCGTTGCAAACGCCATGCTCTACCAACTGAGCTACATCCCTGCCAGCCATTCCCTCCCCTACCCTGGACGACGCTGGGCCAATTGTGCGCCGTCCCATTATCAACTCTCTCCTGACATGAACTGAAGCCAAGTCTCATGTGCCCGCTCATCCACTGGCACATTGAATGTTGCCTCTCCAAGCACCGTGAGTAGACCTGTCCATTTTCTCTCATTACAGTATGCAGAGTCAGTCACATTATTGCACATCAATGATTTTACTCCATGTTTGGACTAACTCATTCTCAGCTCTTTGGTCTAACTGTGTAGTGTGTTGTGTTATTGTTTTTTTTTGTCTTCCCAGTCAAATCCTGTCCTGCCCTCAGTGGAAGAGTTGAGCTCTTCTCCAACACCATCCATCCATGATGAGCCTGTCCTGCACTGAAGCCTATGAACACCTCAACCCCTGTCCTGCACTGAAGTCAAGCCTCTGAACACCTCAACTCATGCCTCATACCCTCATTCAATCACTGCTGTGATCCCTTCCCAACACTGTGGAAGTAGCCCTCTCATTCCCATTCCCCATAATATTGTACTATAAATGTTAGGTTAAAATAAATTTTCTTTGACGATTTTTTAAACACGCTGTGTCGTCTCCGTGCCTACCGCGCCTATACCGTGGGTCTCCCATCCTCCTCAATTTTTCAAGTCACCTGCCTCCACTGGTTTACACAGATGACTGTCTTCAGCCATTTAAAAACCTTCCATAGCTAAATATACCTAGCTAGCTAGCTACCTACCTTTTTGCTTCTCATCCAACTGGCGTTAGCAAGCTAGATACAGCTGCTAGCCTTCTACTAGCTAGCTGCTACTGTTGCTCAGTAACCGAGTTTCGGCTGAAAGATGTTAGCATTGTCAGAAATGCTACAAAAAGGTAGCACATCGTTGGTTCTTAATGGACAGAAATTAGCACGTGAGAGCGATTAAATTGTGAATAAATAAAAAAAACTGACCGGTGTGACTACAATCTCTCTCTCGCTCTCCCTCTGTTGTCATGAGAGAACCTAGACCCAACAAAACTTACCCAACCACATGACTCCAACCAACGTCCCCTACATCAGTACGTTCTGACTGGACCATGATGGGAAGAGAACCCTCTGGATGCTGCAGAATCTCTGGACAAACCTCACAGTCTAGTTTGGGCCTGTGTGACCAGTAAAAGAAACATATACCATCTCAATAAACTGAAGAGGAGAAGCTATTCATTTCAAAAGTTGTTCCATTTAATTTTAATTTTAAATTCAAATCACTTAATGAATTGAGGGTCTTCAATTCAAATTGACCCCAACCCTGATACACACATATTAGGATGAAACATTTCTTTGCCTGATCTGTGTCTGGGGAACCAGTCTTTTGATGCTGTGAAAGACTAGGCTATTAGCTACTTCGACAGCACCTTTTTTTCTCCTTCCCGCTGTTGGTCTCCCCATTTGAAAGAAGACTAATTGAATACTGATAGGCAAACATTTAGAAAACCTGACAAATAAATCTCACTCCTTTCGCACTCCCTCATAGGCAATGGTGGCATGTATAAATAATAATAATTCACTTGTAGTTGATCAAATGTGCTCTATGGAAGATGTCATTGGCAGAAGAGAAGAGAATATGTAGCAGCTTTCCAGAGAGTGACGAGATGGCAACCTTAGAGATGTCGTATGTCCTGTTCTTGCCTGAAATGTAAACAGTGTAATGAGAAATACCTCGTGCACACACAGTATTTAGCCAGAGAGCAGTGTCCTGTATTCAGGTGACAGAAGCAGAGGGCCTCACCCTGTCAGTGTTTCATTTGTGATGTAACTCCTGTAAAAAAAAAAAAATGCTATATAGAATGTCAGTGCAAAGGCATGTGCCCAAATATATACAATATGTCTCCCCTTCCATTGGAAAAAACAATGTACTTTTTTGTGCTATGGCCACATTCATTTGAATATTCTAAACCTTAGGGTTGGTTTGGATGTAATGTGGAACCACCAGAGCTAACTGCATTTACACATTTCCCCACAACCAATAAACAAGTCTTCAAATGGTTTTCAAACATTTGTTATTTAATCAACATATTGTGTCAGAAAGGTATGTTGTAATAGTGTTGCAGAAGGGAACAGGAATTTAAAGAAATAAAATGGAAATGTAATATGAAATTGTGACAATTCGGCAGGCTATCCCCGCTGGGCACAGACGTCAGTTCAACATCTAGTTTTGATTGACATTTGGTTGAGTTGTCAACTAACGTGAATTCAACATGAAATCAACAAAACATTTCACCATATCATTGGATTTACGTAAGAAATGTGTGGAAAAAGACTAAATTCCCTTACGTCTAATAATTTTTTCTAATACAATTCGTTTTTTCACATTGATTCAACGTCATCGCATTGGATTTCTTTGTTAACAGAGGCCAGTCATAAAGTCCCAGAGACTTGGGAGAACATTGCACAGCACATTCTTAAAGACAAGGTTAGGAGAGTCAATTCCATTTCAAACCAGTAAATTCAGGAAGTAAACTTCAAGTTTTTACTCAATTTCCCCTCTCAATTTCAGTTACCAAAAATGGCTGAATTGATTTGGATATTGACACAACCCTGGTTAAAAAGTAGCCAACTTTTTTTTTTAATTTCACCTTTATTTAACCAGGTAAGCCAGTTGAGAACAAGTTCTCATTTACAACTGCGACCCGGCCAAGATAAAGCAAAGACAGTACTTCACTTCCCAATTTAGGATTTCCTGAATTGCCAGGCCGAAAACGGACCTGGGCCTGTATCCATAAAGCATCTCAGAGTAAGAGTGCTGATCTGGGATCAGTTTAGCCTTTTAGATCGTAATGAATTAGATTATATGGACAGATCTTAGATCAGCACATAGGTAGGTCTTTGTAAATATGTGAGTTGTTGTGAACTGTCCTCAGTGCCCGTATCCATAAAGCATATCTTTATGTACTGATCTTTTGCCTAATGAATGGACAGTGTACTGTACCCAGCGTTTGCACTCTTAACATGCCCTGGATAAGACTTCAACCCTGGGCCCTGTCCATTAAATATGCTTATTCATTTAAAAGCCAACAGCAGAATTATAACCCTGGTACAGGTTGTCCTGTTTACCAAATGATGCAGGGTACAGTACACTGTATGACTCACTATATGTTCAGACATCATATCCGCATCCCAAATGGCACCCTAATCCCTATATAGGGCACTACATATGACAAGAGCCCTATGTGCCCTGGTTGAAAGTAGTGCGCAATAAAGGGAACAGTGTGCCATTTGCGACGCCTCCGTGTGTTTCTGTTTCTTTTGCATGGTGGCGGACAAACAAAGAAGGGCCTGTTGGCTTTGTGAACTGGCGGTGTGCGAGTTTGCAAGGGAAATGTGACCCTCCGGTCGGCATGCAAACTCCCGGGCCACATTTAGACGTCATTTTCATGTGGGCATCGTTGGGGAGGATCTTAGTTTTCATTCCTTGACGGTTCAGCAGAGCGCCTGCTGCTATCTCCCGTGACGTGGCTATATCGGAGTTAGAGCGAGAAACGGGTAAGGTTGCTTCTTCATCTCCTATTACTTTAATAGTATAGCTGACTGTATATCTGAAATCAATCAGCATAATGTGGCTATATTGGGCTGCACTGTTTGTAACATGCTATATTTTGTGAAAAATATGAATTTTGTGCCACAAAAATGCAAAACGTTGAATTATTTTGTGTCCATTACTAATGAATCACTGTTAGTAAATAACAATTGAGTACAAAAGTTCAGAACTCTGAAAATAACAAAGGTTTTGATGAGAATGTCTAGAAAACAGCCACTGTATCTTCCAGTAAATGTACCCGGCCGAGCCTGTGATGGATGCAAATGTATAATAACGGCCCACTTTTAAAATGTTTTACTGAACTACGAATTTGAATTTTCATCTGAACACTGAGTGTTACCACATCCACGGTTTTTAGCAGTCGACACAAACACCATGGAGCCGAAGAGTTGGGCCACTCTGGCTTTCCTGGCCATTCTTCTCTGGATACCTATTTGTGAGTAGACAGCTAACTTCGCCTACTCAATGTAGGCGTCCTGTATATTACTATCAGGGTTGGGGTCAGTTCAAATTAAAGTCACTCAATTCAAGAAATGATTTGAATTTAACATAAAAAAAAAAAAAACGGGAACAACTTTTGAAAGAAATAGCTTCTCCTCTTTAGTCATTGAAAATTGAAATCAAAATCGAATTAATTTCCTAAATTGACTGAATTCAATTCGAATTGACCCCAAGCCTGATTACTATATTACAATATCAAAGGTATTGCTTGGCCTTCCTTTCTGTGGGAAAGCAATCTAACAAGATCATGCATTGTAATTAATACAATACTTTGAAAAAAAGGTTATATCTAGAACCTAAAAAGGGGTTTTCAAAAGAGTTGTATCTGGCTGGAACCCCAAATCAATCAATCAAATGTATTTAAAGCCCTTTTTACATCAGCAGATGTCACAAAGTGCTTATACAGAAACCCAGTCTAAATCCCCAAAGAGCAAGCAATGCAGACATAGAAGCACGGTGGATAGGAAAAACTCCCTAGAAAGGCAGGAACCTAGAAAGAAACCTGGAGAGGAACCAGGTTCTGAGGGGTGGCCAGTCCCCTTCTGGCTGTACTGGGTAGAGAGGAACCAGGCTCTGAGGGGTGGCCAGTCTCCTTCTGGCTGTGCCGGGTGGAGATTATAAGAGTACATGGCCATTAAGGCCAGATCATTCTTCAAGATGTTCAAATATTCTTCAGATGACCAGGAGGGTCAAATAATAATCACAGTGGTTGTAGAGGGTGCAACAGGTCAGCACCACAGGAGTAAATATCAGTTGGCTTTTCATAGACAAGTATTCAGAGGTCGAGACGGGAGAGGGAGGGAGGGAGAGAGAGATTGCTTTGTAAACATATGTTTCCCATGCCAATAAAGCCTACATGTTCTCCCATGGGGACAGCCGAAGAACCCTTTTGGAACGCTTTTTTTGTATCTGTGTCTTATGTTTTATTTTTATAGGCCCTGGAGAAAATACAAACAATGGAAATAATAAAAATCCACCACGGAATCGCCAACAAAAAACAAGGGATATCCAGAGTTTTCTGACTGCGGATAAGACTATTTTGATAGTTGACGGTGGCTTCACAGGTACCCTGAAACCATGTTGTGGTGAGTTTCATTACAGTTTGTGATGTATGGGATATAGTTTTGAATGATAGGAGCCCGGAATGAATTACAATGGTATTGAAAACCATATGTGAGATATGGAAGAACTTCAGTTTAGTCGAGCTGCAGTGGCGGGCAAGCCTGTTAGTTCCAGATTTGTTTGTTGTATAGCCAACTTCTATGACCATGTTTGGAATTAACCATAGACGATGCACAACTACGGGTGTCCAACCAATCCACATACTCCCAATGTTGTGTCCCAAAGCTAGAATTAACCATAGACTAGCTTTTACCAAGCTATCATCTCCCTTCTTCACCAATAGGAAACGGATCTAAAACCACCACAACCGTAAATCAAACGATGTGGAGTGTTTCATTCGACACTAACTCTACTACGCTTCAGCGTGAGTATGACCCCACATGCCAACAACAGTTTTGCATACCTCTTATTACCAAAATATTTACATCTCATTAAAATGACTTATTCCCTTTTTGTTTACTTGGGTTCTTAGAAGAATGCAAGGATTGGGGATTTTGGATGCAGGGAAGTAAATAATTCCAATCTTCTGTACACGTCAAAGACGTACGTGAACAATGGCATGGGATTGTTTCTGTGTGTGATGGTTGGAAGGAATTGCAGCAAGACACTGGACTATGTCAGGAAAAACATTACAGGTTGAAGATGCAGCCTCTTCCTATTAATGATGCTAATGTTTTATAACGTCACCTCCTTCTTCTTCTTGTCAAAATAATAACAAGTGCATTTTGTTACAGCTTGCCGTGGGACATGTCCTCTCATCGAAAATAAGACAAGTATGTTTTTTTATCTTCCTGTCTATGTTGTCCAGTAAAGAGTTTCAGCATGTGCATATAGAAATAGCGCTGAATGTCTTTCAATCCAAGCCGTGACATACCTCAGTTCACTATACAGCTGGCAATGTTTTAACGGCATTTTCCGCTGATGTTCGCGGAGATCGCATTCACGGTAAACACCTCGCGCGTCAGCTCAACCGGTAAGTTACCTTTTTAAAGTCTGTTAAAGAATTGAATCCCTTATTTTCCATCCACAGCCAACTGCAGTGTCTCCTGTTTCAACACCACTACACTTTGCAATGGAACTGCGTATAAGCAGGAGTCCTGCAAAGGTAAGAACCTGCTGTATGTCCCATGCTGCCGTGATTATGTCATTGTGAGATGCAGTGCTCCCTTGGTCTCGATGAGACTCCCCGCTAAAATAAAGGTTAAAAAATATACACTGAACAAACATACAAACGCAACATGTAAAGTGTTGGTCCCATGTTACATGAGCTGAAATAAAAGATCCCAGAAATGTTCCATATGCACAAAAAACATATTTATCTCAAATTCTTAGCACAAATTGATTTACATCCCTGTTAGTGAGCATTTATCCTTTGCCAAGATAATCCATCCACCTGACAGGTGTGGCATATCAAGAAGCTGATTAAATAGCATGATCATTACACAGGTGCACCTTGTGCTGGGGACAATAAAAGGCCACTCTAAAATGTGCAGGTTTGTCACACAACACAATGCCACAGATGTCTCAAGTTTTGAGGGAGCTGTAATTGGCATGCTGACAGCAGGAATGTCCACCAGAGCTGTTGCCAGAGAATTTGCTGTGGGATTATTTAAGATTTAGGGTTTGATGTTTTCGGAAGATGGGCAGGGACTCACCATTGGGGTGCCAGGACAGAGAAGAGCTTGGACTGGGCTGAGCGGGTGCTGCCCTCCCCTAGGGGTGGGAGGGCCAATAGACCAGAGGTGTAGGGTTTGAGCATAGCCTGAATGTAGGGAGGGGCAGTTCCTCTTGCTGCTCCTTAGGCAAGTATCATGGTCTTGTAGTGGATGCGAGCTTCGACTGGAAGCCAGTGGAGTGTGCAGAGGAGCGGGGTGACCAGTAGTGGTGTGTGGGTAAAATGAATGAGGAAGCCCCTCTGTCTCAGTATGTGTGGTCCATATATCTGATGCTGTCTGGACCAAAAGAGTATAACATGTTGCAGCCGTAGCGTTTGATTGATTGATGCCAGCAAGCATTTGGCCACTTGATGGGATTGATGGAAAATTATTAAAACTCAGAGAGAGAGATGTAAGATACATTATTTTAGAATTGAAATGTATTTATTGGTCAAATATTTGGGGAAGCCTGGCTTCCCATGGCATCCATGAACACCAGGCGATCTGCAGCGTTCTCGATAAATTGCAGGGGTTTGATGGCACAAGCGGGGAGCCCAGCCAACACTGAGTTGCAGTAGTCCAGACGGGAGATGACAAGTGCCTGGATTAGGACCTATTCACCATATAGCATACTGTAATTCAGACACCTGCAGCGTGCTCTTGGTGGAAGGTGTTGGTTTATAAATGGTCAGAGCTGTGGTGAAGTGGTAACACTCCCCGGCACAGACTCCCCACCGGAAGCCATGGTTCAATCCCTTCCCACTTGCTCTCCTTCCTTCCTGCCTCGTTTCTGTCTAAATAAAGTGAGAACACCTCAAAAATATATTAAAGAGAAACGGTGTGTGTTTTGTTTTTAGATCTCTTCTCAGGAGCCATAAACCAAGATAAATTCATCATCGACGCAACAGCACCAAAGACTTTGTTTCAACTGTAATGAACCATTCCAAGACCCTGTGGAACAGTTGTATCCTACAGCAACGTTTACCACTGAAAAGGGAGTTGACATCGATGGTGAAAAGGCTTCGTAAGAATGACTCAATCATAACTATTATTATTATTATATCATTCATAGGGCCAGTTTCCTGGACAAAGATTAAACTTAGTCCTAGACTTTATATTATATATACAGTGAGGGAAAAAAGTATTTGATCCCCTGCTGATTTTGTACGTTTGCCCACTGACAAAGACAGGATCAGTCTATAATTTTAATGGTAGGTTTATTTGAACAGTGAGAGACAGAATAACAACAACAAAAATCCAGAAAAACGCATGTCCAAAATGTTATAATTTTTTTTTGCATTTTAATGAGGAAAATAAGTATTTGACCCCTCTACAAAACATTACTTAGTACTTGGTGGCAAAACCCTTGTTGGCAATCACAGAGATCAGACGTTTCTTTTAGTTGGCCACCAGGTTTGCACACATCTCAGGAGGGATTTTGTTCCACTCCTCTTTGCAGATCTTCTCCAAGTCATTAAGGTTTCGAGCCTGACGTTTGGCAACTCAAACCTTCAGCTCCCTCCACAGATTGTCTATGGGATTAAGGTCTGGAGACTGGCTAGGCCACTCCAGGACCTTAATGTGCTTCTTCTTGAGCCACTCCTTTGTTGCCTTGGCCGTGTGTTTTGGGTCATTGTCATGCTGGAATACCCATCCACGACCCATTTTCAATGCCCTGGCTGAGGGAAGGAGGTTCTCACCCAAGATTTGACGGTACATGGCCCCGTCCATCGTCCCTTTGATGCGGTGAAGTTATCCTGTCCCCTTAGTAGAAAAACACCCCCAACGCATAATGTTTCCACCTCCATGTTTGACGGTGGGGATGGTGTTCTTGGGGTCATAGGCAGCATTCCTCCTAGAGATCCTGGTTCGAATCCAGGCTCTGTCGTAGCAGGCCGCGACCGGGAGACCCATGGGGCGGCGCACAATTGGCCCAGCGTCGTCCAGGGTAGGGGAGGGAATGGCCGGCAGGGATGTAGCTCAGTTGGTAGAGCATGGCATTTGCAACGCCAGGGTTGTGGGTTCGACTCCAGTATGAAAAAATAAAATAATGTATGCACTCACTAACTGTAAGTCGCTCTGGATAAGAGCGTCTGCTAAATGACTAAAATGTAAATGTAATGCCAAAGAGCTCAATTTTGGTCTCATCTGACCACAACACTTTCACCCAGTTCTCCTCTGAATCATTCAGATGTTCATTGGCAAACTTCAGACGGCTCTGTATATGTGCTTTCTTGAGCAGGGGAACCTTGCGGGCGCTGGAGGATTTCAGTCCTTCACGGCGTAGTGTGTTACCAATTGTTTTCTTGGTGACTATGGTCCCAGCTGCCTTGAGATCATTGACAAGATCCTCCTGTGTAGTTCTGGGCTGATTCCTCACCGTTCTTATGATCATTGCAACTCCATGAGGTGAGATCTTGCATGGAGCCCCAGGCCGAGGGAGATTGACAGTTATTTTGTGTTACTTCCATTTGCAAATAATCGCACCAACTGTTGTCACCTTCTCACCAAGCTGCTTGGCGATGGTCTTGTAGCCCATTCCAGCCTTGTGTAGGTCTACAATCTTGTCCCTGACATCCTTGGAGAGCTCTTTGGTCTTGACCATGGTGGAGAGTTTGGAATCTGATTGATTGATTGCTTCTGTGGACAGGTGTCTTTTTTATACAGGTAACAAACTGAGATTAGGAGCACTCCCTTTAAGAGTGTGCTCCTAATCTCAGCTCGTTACCTGTATAAAAGACACCTGGGAGCCAGAAATCTTTCTGATTGAGAGGGGGTCAAATACTTATTTCCCTCGTTTAAAATGCAAATCAATTAATAACATTTCTGACATGCGTTTTTCTGGATTCTGTTGTTGTTATTCTGTCTCTCACTGTTCAAATAAACCTACCATTAAAATTATAGACTGATAATTTCTTTGTCAGTGGGCAAACGTACAAAATCAGCAGGGGATCAAATACCTTTTTCCCTCACTGTGTGTGTATATATATATATATATATATATATACACACACTACCGTTCAAACGTTTGTGGTCACTTAGAAATGTCCTTGTTTTCGAAAGAAAAGCAATATTTTTGTCCATTAAAATAACATCAAATTGATCAGAAATACAGTGTAGACATTGTTAATGTTGTAAATGGCTATTGTAGCTGGAAACGGCTGATTATTAATGGAATATCCACAGAGGTGTACAGAGGCCCATTATCAGCAACCATCAGTCCTGTGTTCCAATGGCACGTTGTGTTTGTTAATCCAAGTTTATAATTTTATAAACCTAATTTATCATTAGAAAACCCTTTTGCAATTATGTTAGCACAGCTGAAAACTGTTGTGCTGATTAAAGAAGCAATAAAACTGGCCTTCTTGAGACTAGTTGAGTATCTGGAGCATCAGCAATTGTGGTTCGATTACAGGCTCAAAATGGCCAGAAACAAATAACTTTCTTCTGAAACTCGTCAGTCTATTCTTGTTCTGAGAAATGAAGGCTGTTCCATGCGAGAAATTGCCAAGAAACTGAAGATCTCGTACAACGCTGTGTACTACTCCCTTCACAGAACAGCGCATATCTCAGACTGGCCAATAAAAAGATGGGCAAAAGAACACAGACACTGGACAGAGGAAGATTGGAAAAAAAGTGTTATGGACAGACGAATCGAAGTTTGAGGTGTTTGGTTCACAAAGAAGAACATTTGTGAGACGCAGACCAAATGAAATATGCTGGAAGAGTGCTTGATGCCATCTGTCAAGCATGGTGGAGGCAATGTGATGGTCTGGGGGTGCTTTGGTGGTGGTAAAGTGGGAGATTTGTACAGGGTAAAAGGGATCTTGAAGAAGGAAGGTTATCACTCCATTTTGCAACGCCATGCCATACCCTGTGGACGGCGCTTGATTGGAGCCAATTTCCTCCTACAACAGGACAATGACCCAAAGCACAGCTCCAAACTATGCAATAACTATTTAGGGAAGAAGCAGTCAGCTGGTATTCTGTCTATAATGGAGTGGCCAGCACAGTCACCGGATCTCAACCCTATTGAGCTGTTGTGGGAGCATCTTGACCGTATGGTACGTAAAAAGTGCCCATCAAGCCAATTCAACTTGTGGGAGGTGCTTCAGGAAGCATGGGGTGAAATCTCTTCAGATTGACAACTAGAATGCCAAAGGTCTGCAAGGCTGTAATTGCTGCAAATAGAGGATTCTTTGACGAAAGCAAAGTTTGAAGAACACAATTATTATTTCTATTAAAAATCATTATTTCTAACCTTGTCAGTGACTACATTTCCAATGCATTTTGCTATATTTCCTATTCAAACTCATTTCATGTATGTTTTCATGGAAAACAAGGACATTTCTAAGTGACCCCAAACTTTTGAATGGTAGTGTGTATATATATATATATATATATATATATATTATTAGAAAGTGCTTCTAGGTCCAAGATTAGGTTTAATCGATAGCCGGGAATCCACCCCTATAAGTGTAACTTTTTAGAGAACTTAGAACAGTATCCAAACAAGCGCCTGCCAGGCTTGGAAATGCACTTATAGGGTAACATTTTCCCCTCACAAAGGAACAGCTGCCCTGTGAAATAACACACAGCAACATTCTAAATAACGGGAGATCTAAATCACCTCTAGATTGAATTGCATGAAGTGCGTGTATCACGCAGTAACTGAATCTCTGGTTAAAACTAAAGTGCCTCCTCACGGATATTGTTAAAGACCATGGATTGTGTGACTGTCCTAATACGGACACCGTATTAAAGGGGTATTCAAATCCCAGCCTGGAGGTCTGGAGTCTGCTGGTTTTCTGTTCTACCTGATAAGTAATTGCACACACCTGGTGTCCCAGGTCTAAAACAGTCCCTGATTTAGAGGGGAATAATTAAAATCAGCAGTGGAACTGGCTTCAAGGTCCAAATTTGAATATCCCTGCCATATTCTATAGATGTGTGACTGTCCTAATATGGACACCGTACTCCTCTCAACAGGAAGGCCATGAACGATATCTCCTCTCTGGTCAAAGACATGAATGAGTCCTCAGCTTCTGTGTTCATGGGCTCGGTCACTGGGGTCATAGTGAAGCCCAAAGAGAAGGACATCGAGGAGGTCTCCTTTGGCTACTCCTCCAGCTCCAGCATTAAGGTGGGTGGATTTCATTTTAGTCATTTAGCAGACGCTCTCATCCAGAGCCCCTTACAGGAGCAATTAGGGTTAAGTGCCTTGCTCAAGGGCACATCGACAGATTTTTCACCTAGTCGGCTCGGGGATTAGAACCAGCGACCTTTCGGTTACTGGCACAACGCTCTTACCCACTAAGCTACCTGCCGCCCTATGGATGGATGGATGGATGGGATGGACAAAAAATAAAATATGCTTTAATGTCCCATAGGTACATTTGCTCTGCCCCCTTTTAAAGTTGGGCAGAGGTCAGACTTTCCTATCTTAGACATTTGAGGTCTGATAGGTGTGGTCAACTAGGGTATGGCTGTAGCTGGGGACGGCTGTAGCTGGGGACGGCTGTAGCTGGGTACGGCTGTAGCTGGGGACGGCTGTAGCTGGGGACGGCTGTAGCTGGGGACGGCTGTAGCTGGGGACGGCTGTAGCTGGGGAGGTGTACGGGGACGGCTGTAGCTGTGGTAGGCTTGTTGCTGGCTGTAGCAGACGGCTGTAGATGGTAGGGTACTGGGACTGTAGCTGGGTAGGCTGTAGCTGGGACGGCTGTAGTGGACGGCTGTAGCTGGGGACGGCTGTAGCTGGGGACGGCTGTAGCTGTTGTATCAGTATTACATAGTATTTTCCCATACATAGTGAGGCCACAGGAGGTTGGTGGCACCTTAATTGGGGAGGACGGCCTCGTGGTAATGGCAGGAGCGGAATCAGGGGAATGGTATCAAATACATCCAACATGGTTTCCATGTGTTTGATGCCATTCCATTTGCTCCGTTCCGGCCATTATTATGAGCCGTCCTCCCCTCAGCAGCCTCCTGTGGTGAGGTCCAGATAAACTAACATTTTTTTTTTTGTCACTTTCCCAAAATTCTCTGGTCTTCCAGAAAACCTGGTTGGATCAGGAGGCAATAAGCAGGAAATCCGGAATTCTCCAACCTATAGATTTCTGGAAAAACCTAGACATTTTGCGAAAGTTAGCAGGTTTTTTACAACCCTCTGTGTGTCTGACTGTGTTCTGGTTTGTTGTTGTTCAGATTGTGGAAGATCGGGGGAAACTGGGTGCCTTCTCTAGGTCTGTATCAGTCACAAAGGAAGCGTTTGAAAAGGCCTTCAAGTTAACCAACGGCAGTGCATTTGCCGGTGTTTTCCGATTCCCCAACATGTCCAAGGTATATCTAAGACTTCAATTGTCCTTTCACTGAAATAAGAAAATCAAATGACAGTTGGTGTGGTGCCACTAAGGTCGCAGAATTCCGGTCCCAATTTTCCCAAAATACCTGGATTCCGGATTCCCTACTTACTCCCTCCACTTTCCTGGAGTTTTCCAACTGGTATTTCCGGAAAACCAGAGCATTTTGGGAGGGTTATCGGAATTTTGCAATCCTAGGGGTGCTATGGTTGTCATGGTTGTCATGGACGCTCTTTCTTCCAGGATGCAAATAACAGCACAGTTCTGCATAACGAGGTGGTAGCGATCGAGATGGGCACCATCATTGCCAATCTAACCGACCACATAAATCTTAATTTTCGAAATGTCCAGAAGGTAAATGATGATGCTCTTTACTAGTGCCAGTTAATGTTACCAGTATGTGGGATATAATACATTGGCCCCTAAGAGGAAAAGTAGCTTTGAAAATGTACCATAGATGTACTGTAGGCTGAGGAACATGACACACAGACTCATCAAAAGGTTCAGTTCAGACCTCTTGGTGTAATAGAGGTTGGACTGACAGAATCAGAATCACCTTTTATTCGTCAAGTACATTTACACGTAGCAGGAATTTGACCTGGTGAAATGGTGCTGCCACAATACACAGAATATACAGGCAAAATAAGACTTTACACAGGAAACTGGGTTGAATCCCGGTCGGTCTAACCCCCAAATTTGCTGCATTTGGTGTGAAACGATTATTCTAAATACTGTACGAGTACATCAGCCCTACCCATAATGCACTACTTTTTTTTCCACCAGGGGGGAGCCATTCCATCGTGCCAGTCGTGGGACGGTAAAGGTATTTAGCTGCCATTACATTTCCTTACTGATTTGCATACTATACGAGGTAAGGTTTGAAATGGGCATACTTCTTCAAGTAAGCATAGCGAGTAGCTAGTAAACTGTAGTAAGCAATATGCAGGGCACATCTTAGTATGCTTAAAAGACCCAGGAAGTCACACTCACTGCATTTGTTGAAGAAATTGATTACAGTACGAGGCCACTGTTCAGGAAGTACACCGGTACTCACGCAGTGTGCAGGTACTTAGTATGTAGTAGCCGATTCTCAACCTTTTTCCCCTCATAGGAAGTCGACCCAACTGGACAGACGATGGCTGTTTGACCTTTGTGAAAGGGGACAACATAACCTGCAAGTGTACACACCTGACTTTCTTTGCTGTGCTAATGGTAGGTTCCCTCGTTCTCTTATAGGGTTGCAAAATTCCGGTAACGTTCCCAAAATTCCCAGGTTTTCCACAAATCCCGGTTGGAGGATTCTCGGATTTCCTGGTAATTCCCTCCTTATCTTCAAACTGGGATTTCTGAAAAACCTTGGAATTTTGGGAACGTTACCAGAATTTTGGGAACGTTACCAGAATTTTGCAACCCTATTCTTTTACCAGTTACTCTGTTGTTGGGAGGGCCAGTAAACATTTCACTGTTAGTCTACACCTGTTGTTTGTTTACCAAGCATGTGACAAATCAAATTGGATTTGATTTAATAATGTTGCATATGCTCTAGATTGTTGCTGCTTTCATTTCAATTCTAAGCAGATCTATTTGAAATAGTAAAACAAAAAAAAAGATTTCTAATACATGAATCTGTTCATCACTAACCTGTGCCTCTTTTTCAGTCCCCTCCGAACCAGACGATCTCAGACAGTGATCTGAACTCTCTCACCTACATCACCTATGTGGGGTGTGGCATGTCCATGTTCTTCCTGGGCGTGGTTCTCTTCATGCACTTCCTGCTAAGGTAGGTCGCTCCGCCAACTGTCATTATGGCACTGGTCACTACTTCCTGCTAAGGTAGGTCGCTCCGCCAACTGTCATTATGGCACTGGTCACTACTTCCTGCTAAGGTAGGCCGCTCCACCAACTGTCATTATGGCACTGGTCACTACTTCCTGCTAAGGTAGGTAGCTCCACCAACTGTCATTATGGCACTGGTCACTACTTCCTGCTAAGGTAGGTAGCTCCACCAACTGTCATTATGGCACTGGTCACTACTTCCTGCTAAGGTAGGTAGCTCCGCCCAACTGTCATTATGGCACGGTCACTACTTCTGCTAAGGTAGGTCGCTCCACCAACTGTCAATTATGCATGGCACTACTTCCTGCCAAGGTAGGTCGCTCCACCAACTGTCATTATTGCACTGGTCACTACTTCCTGCTAAGGTAGGCCGCTCCACCAACTGTCATTATGGCACTGGTCACTACTTCCTGCTAAGGTAGGTAGCTCCGCCCACTGTCATTATGGCACTGGTCACTACTTCCTGCTAAGGTAGGTCGCTCCACCAAACTGTCCATGATTGCACTGGTCACGTCTTCCTGCTAAGGTAGGTAGCTCCGCCCAACTGGTCATTATTGGTATGGATCACGACTTCCTGCTAAGGTAGGTAGCTCTGCCCACTGTCATTATGGTACTGGTCACTACTTCCTGCAAAGATAGGTAGCTCCGCCCACTGTCATTATGGCACTGGTCACTACTTCCTGCTAAGGTAGGTAGCTCCGCCCACTGTCATTATGGCACTGGTCACTACTTCCTGCTAAGGTAGGTAGCTCCGCCCACTGTCATTATGGCACTGGTCACTACTTCCTGTATCTGAGAAAACATAAGGGCTGTTAAATCCTTCCTTTCCTCCGTCCTTGTTTCCTCAATTCTTGTCAAAGCGCATTGCAGGAGGATGTCCGAGGGAGTGTGGATATTAAAAACGAAGCCCATGGCCAGCCCGTCTCCACACGTAGCAATGATCTCCATTCACCTAAAAACTGATTTTAAACTTAACCACACTGCTAACCTTGTGCCTAACCTTAAATTAAGACCAAAAAGGTTATTTTTTGTTTTCATAAATGTTTTATATAGCCAATTACGACTCTGGCCATCTAATGGGGTCCCTTGACCTACTAACCCCTGAACTTTGACCTCTTAACTTCTAACCTGTAATGTGACCTCCAGGAAGTCGAAGTCAAACAAAACCACCCGGATCCTGATCCAGCTGTTCCTGTCCATGTTCATGCTCAACGTCACCTTCCTGTCCAATGAGTGGGTGGCCAGCCTGAACAGCCCAGTGGCCTGCCAGATGATGGCTGCTGCCATGCACTACTCCATGCTGTCCACCTTCACCTGGTTCGCCGTGGAGGCCTTCCACCTCGGTCAGCAGCTCTTCAAGTCAGGCGCCATCACCATACCACGCTACATCATGAAAGTCTGCATCGCCGGGTGGGGTGAGTGGTCTGATACTTAGGTTGCGTTAGCTACTGTGGGTACTTGTAGGTTTTGAATGACCCAAAGATAGGGTTGTACTCTGGGTTAGTTAGCTTTAGGTAGGGCCGGTTTTGGGATGTTAGGCATTATGATGTAAGGATAATGTACCGACTTTGGGGGGGGTTGCTCAGGTAGGGATTTGATGTCTTCAACCTGTGCCTGAGGGGTCCAATTGAGTGTCAGTATCACTGTTTTTTTTTTTGTTGTTGTTGCAAATGGTTAAAGAATGTAATATACTACTTACCTTTTGTTTGATCCATGTCCTCTGCCTTAGTCCTGCCCAGCGTGGTAGTGATCATACTCTTCAGTCTGGGGAAATACGGAAAACAGAGCACCTACACTGACGGAGGGAAGGTGATGTACACGTGAGTCTCACTAACGAAGTAATACCTGATAAACATTTGATTTTTCACAGGAAAATAACTTGGTAGAGTCTCAGACCCAAGCCAGGCTTGACCCTGTCCCCTCAGTCTTATTATTCTGCTATGAAGGTCCTGGATCCTAGACATAATGAACATCAGCCACTACACTACATATACCCTAACTCAATACCAACTACACTACATAGTGAAATAACTCTCCTCCCCTCAATACCAACTACACTGCATAGTGAAATAACTCTCCTCCCCTCAATACCAACTACACTACATAGTGAAATAACTCTCCTCCCCTCAATACCAACTACACTACATAGTGAAATAACTCTCCTCCCCTCAATACCAACTACACTACATAGTGAAATAACTCTCCTCCCCTCAATACCAACTACACTACATAGTGAAATAACTCTCTCCCTCAATACACTACTACATAGTGAATAACTCTCCTCCCTCAATACCAACTACACTACATAGTGAAATAACTCTCCTCCCCTCAATACCAACTACACTACATAGTGAAATAACTCTCCTCCCCTCAATACCAACTACACTACATAGTGAAATAACTTCTCCCCTCAATACATCACTCTAGTGAAATAACTCCCCCAATACAACTACACTACATACTGAAAACTTCCTCCCTCTATACCAACTACACTACATAGTAAAATACTATAAGTTCTTGCTAGGTAACCAAATGACACCTGCATCTCTAGCTGTGTAAAGATACCGAAAATGATACAGTGGCTTGCGAAGGTATTCACCCCCCTTGGCATTTTTCCTATTTTGTTGCCTTACAACCTGTAATTAAAATTGATTTTTGGGGGGGTTTGTATCATTTGATTTACACAACATCCCTACCACTTTGAAGATGCAAAATATTTTTTATTGTGAAACAAACAAAACAGAAAACTTGAGCGTTCATAACTATTCACCAAAAGGTGTAGAGACACCTTTTGCAGCAATTACAGCTACAAGTCCCTTGGGGTATATCTCTATAAGCTTGGCACATCTAGCCACTGGGAGTTTTGCCCATTCTTCAAGACAAAACTGCTCCAGCTCCTTCAAGTTGGATGGGTTCCGCTGGTGTACAGCAATCTATAAGTCATACCACATATTCTCAATTGGATTGAGGTCTGGGCTTTGACTAGGCCATTCCAAGACATTTAAATGTTTCCCCCTTAAACCACTCAAGTGTTGCTTTAGCAGTATGCTTAGGGTCATTGTCCTGTTGGAAGGTGAACCTCTGTCCCAGTCTCAAATCTCTGGAAGATTGAAACAGGTTTCCCTCAAGAATATCCCTGTATTTAGCGCCATCCATCATTCCTTCAATTCTGACCAGTTTCCCAGTCCCTGCCGATGAAAAACATCTCCACAGCATGATGCTGCCACCACCATGCTTCACTGTGGGGATAGTGTTCTCGGGGTGATGAGAGGTGTTGGTTTTGTGCCAGACATAGCGTTTTCCTTGATGGCCAAAAAGCTCAATTTTAGTCTCATCTGACCAGAGTACCTTCTTCCATATGTTTGGGGAGTCTCCCACATGCCTTTTGGCGAACACCAAACGTGTTTGCTTATTTTTTTCCTTAAGCAATGGCTTTTTTCTGCCCACTCTTCCGTAAAGCCCAGCTGTGTGGAGTGTACGGCTTAACGTGGTCCTATGGACAGATACTCCAATCTCCACTGTGGAGCTTTGCAGCTCCTTCAGGGTTATCTTTGGTCTCTTTGTTGCCTCTCTGATTAATGCCCTCCTTGCCTGGTCCGTGAGTTTTGGTGGGCGGCCCTCTCTTGGCAGGTTTGTTGTGGTGCCATGTTCTTTCAATTTTTTAATAATGGATTTAATGGTGCTCCGTGGGATGTTCAAAGTTTCTGATATTTTTTTATAACCCAACCCTGATCTGAACTTCTCCACAACTTTGTCCCTGACCAGTTTGGAGAGCTCCTTGGTCTTCATGGACCGCTTGCTTGGTGGTGCCCCTTGCTTAGTGGTGTTGCAGACCTTTCAGAACAGGTGTAAATATACTGAGATCATGTGACAGATCATGTGACATTTAGATTGCACACAGGTGGACTTTATTTAACTAATTATGTGACTTCTGAAGGTAATTGGTTGCACCAGATCTTATTTAGGGGCTTCATAGCAAAGGGGATGAATACATATGCACACACCACTTTTTTTTTTTTTTTTTTAAACAATAATTTTTTTCATTCCACTTCACCAATTTGGACTATTTTGTGTATGTCCATTTACATGAAATCCAAATAAAAAATCAATTTAAATTACAGGTTGTAATGCAACAAAATAGGAAAAACGCCAAGGGGGATGAATACTTTTGCAAGGCACTGTAACGCTCCTTCCCTCAATACCAGCTACAGTCGTGGTCAAACGTTTTGAGAATGACACAAGTATTGGTCTTCACAAAGTTCGCTGCTTCAGTGTTATGAGATTTTTTTGTCAGATGTTACTATGGTATACTGAAGTATAATTACAAGCATTCCATAAGTGTCAAAGGCTTTTATTGACAATTACATTAAGTTTACGCAAAGAGTCAATATTTGCAATGTTGACCCTTCTTTTTCAAGACCTCTGCAATCCGCCCTGGCATGCTGTCAATTAACTTCTGGGCCACATCCTGACTGATGGCAGCCGATTCTTGCAAAATCAATGCTTGGAGTTTGTCAGAATTTGTGGGTTTTTGTTTGTCCACCCGCCTCTTGAGGATCGACCACAAGTTCTCAATGGGATTAAGGTCTGGGGAGTTTCCTGGCCATGGACCCAAAATGTTGATGTTTTGTTCCCCGAGCCACTTAGTTATCACTTTTGCCTTATGGCAAGGTGCTCCATCATGCTGGAAAAGGCATTGGTCGTCACCAAACTGTTCTTGGATGGTTGGGAGAAGTTGCTCTCGGAGGATGTGTTGATTCCATTATTTTATTCATGGCTGTGTTCTTAGGCAAATTGTGAGTGAGCCCACTCCTTTGGCTGAGAAGCAACCCCACACATGAATGGTCTCAGGATGCTTTACTGTTGGCATGACACAGGACTGATGGTAGCGCTCACCTTGTCTTCTCCGGACAAGGTGTTTTCCGGATGCCCCAAACAATCAGAAAGGGGATTCATCAGAGAAAATGACTTTACCCCAGTCCTCAGCAGTCCAATCCCTGTACCTTTTGCAGAATATCAGTCTGTCCCTGATGTTTTTCCTGGAGAGAAGTGGCTTCTTTGCTGCCCTTCTTGACACCAACCTATCCTCCAAAAGTATTCGCCTCACTGTGCGTGCAGATGCACTCACACCTGCCTGCTGCCATTCCTGAGCAAGCTCTGCACTGGTGGTGCCCCGATCCCGCAGCTGAATCAACTTTAGGAGACGGTCCTGGCGCTTGCTGGACTTTCTTGGGCGCCCTGAAGCCTTCTTCACAACAATTGAACCGCTCTCCTTGAAGTTCTTGATGATCCGATAAATGGTTGATTTAGGTGCAATCTTACTAGCAGCAATATCCTTGCCTGTGAAGCCCTTTTTGTGCAAAGCAATGATGACGGCACGTGTTTCCTTGTAGGTAACCATGGTTAACAGAGGAAGAATAATGATTTCAAGCACCACCCTCCTTTTAAAGCTTCCAGTCTGTTATTCTAACTCAATCAGCATGACAGTGATCTCCAGCCTTGTCCTCGTCAACACTCTCACCTGTGTTAACGAGAGAATCACTGACATGATGGCAGCTGGTCCTTTTGTGGCAGGGCTGAAATGCAGTGGAAATGTTTTTGGGGGATTAAGTTCATTTTCATGGCAAAGAGGGACTTTGCAATTCATCTGATCACTCTTCATGACATTCTGGAGTATATGCAAATTGCCATCATCAAAACTGAGGCAGCAGACTTTGTGAAAATTTGTATTTGTGTCATTCTCAAAACTTTTGACCACGACTGTACACTACATAGTGAAATAAATCTCCTAACCTCTATCTCTAGGTGCTGGATACCTAACACCCTAACTCATATCCCCTCTATCTCTAGGTGCTGGATCCTGGATACCTAACACCCTAACTCATATCCCCTCTATCTCTAGGTGCTGGATCCTGGATATTGACGTGCACTACATAGTCAACATCGGCTACTATGCGCTGGTCTTCCTCTTCACGTTCACCACCTTCATCGTGGTTCTGCGCTGGCTGTTCTACCTTAAGAGCACCAAGATCAAGGTTGTTATGGTTACCAACGTAAAGACCTTAACATCCCATAGTTTCGCATAAATGCGGAAGAATTCTAAACAAAAGGGACCAGGCGATGGAGCAAAAAAAAAAAAGATTGGGAAATAGCAGCACAGAACGTTAAGCCGTTAATAATATACGGTAGGCCATTTAGCAGACGCCTTTTATCCAAAGCGCCTTAGTCTTGCGTACAGACGTTTTCTGTACGGGTGGCACCACCCGTGGCACAGAGGACCACGGAGAAGTGGAAGATAAAACACATTGAGTGAATTTCAGCTAACTACTTAAACTGTTTTACTGTCATTCGATTCATTGAAACGTTTTTTTTTTTTTTTTCAAAATACCTACAGCCACTTTATTAATTCATTTCCTGACTGCTGTCATGTGATCAATGCTCATCCTGTAGAGTCTTTAGCTATCTTAGCAACGGCGCTGGCCACAATCATTTGTCCAATTTCTTTTTATATTTGGCATGTGAATACAATGTTGTCCTAAGTAACCACAGATCATACATCAGCAGATGGTAATTCTAGTTCTATTTGATGTCAACAGAGCAGACCCCAGCTAAAATGGCTGACAAATTGTTCCATTTCATGGTGTAGGGACTCTATGACATCTGGCTAAGGTTCTATATCTATGGTTGTAACCTTGTGATCCTGACCCTAGACCAAGCTGGGCATGGACCAGGCCCAGCAGCAAGGGACAGGCACCAAGGACATAGTGACGGTGATGGGGCTGTGCTGTCTGCTGGGAATCACCTGGAGCTTTGCCTTCTTCGCCCACGGGGTCCTCAAGGTTCCCTCCTACTACATCTTCACCATCCTCAACTCATTCCAAGGTAGATTAAAGACAAGACAGATATAAATTGTAATATATATTTGATCTCATAACAAAGGTATCCTGGAGTTATTTGGATTCTATTATCATTCAATATCACCGTCTCTCTCTCTAGGTTTCTTTATGTTCCTCTACTACTACAACACCAGTAGAGTAATCGGGGAGACCACCAAGGACGACAGAACCAGTAGCAAATGCTCCACGTTGTCCAACACAGTCAACACCACCCAGGAGAACCCATACGTTGACCTAGGTCAACGCCACCCTTACCAGTCAACTAATCACCAATCCTAGACAGTGCAGAGGCTGGTGAGAGGAGGACGGCTCATAATAATAAATGTCCAGAGAATGGAGAAACCATGTGTTTTGATAGCGTAACTTTCGTTATAGCTATTGCTATGAGACCGATGTGAAGTGCTACGAGCTACTGGAGGTCAGAGAGACAGGGGAAATTATACTTAACAGAATTATAGTTATATTATATGTAATCTCCGAGCTTATGGACATTTTGCAGCTTTTAACTTTTATCTTTTATATTGTAGGATAGACCGACTGTACTCCACATGACCTGGCAATGAGTTTGATGGGATCATTCACTTGATGGTATCCATAGATTCTTACAGACCTTTTCCCAGAATTTGGTATATACAGCTCTGGAAGAAATTAAAAGACCACTGCAAAATTATCCGTTTCTCTGGTTTTACTATTTATAGGTATGCGTTTGGGTAAAAATAACATTTTTGTTTTATTCTATAAACTACTGACGAACATTTCTCCCAAATTCCAAATAAGAATATTGTCATTTATAGCATTATTTGCAGAAAAATAACAAAAAAAGATGCAGTGTTGTCAGAACCCTGCGAATAATGAAAGAAAATAAGTTCATGTTCATTTTTTAAACAACACAATAGTCCATGTTTTAACTTAGGAAGAGTTCAGAAGATTCAATATTTTGTGGAATAACCCTGATTTTTCAATCACAAGCTTCATTCATGCGTCGTGGCCAGGCCTCCTCCACCAGTCCTTTCACATTGATGTTGGGTGACTTTATGTAGAGATATAATAATAATAAATAATAATATTGCCAGTTAGCAGACGCTTCTTAAATCCAAAGCGACTTACAGGCATGCGTGCATACATTTTTTTTTTTTTGTGTATGGTGGTCCCGGGTATCGAACCCACTACTTGGCGTGGCGTTGCAAAGGGGTCCGTGCTCTAACCAGCTGAGGCTAACAGAGGAACCACTGATGCTTGATTTAAGAAATAATTTGCAGTGGTCTCCTTAATTTTTTTCCTGATCTGTATATATATACAGTATTTATGTTTTAAAGAGATGAATCGCATAACATTTTTTGCTTTCTTAATCTGAATAAATCTGTGAACTATGATTATATTACGAAATGTATGTGTTCATGTGAAGTGTGTGTCGTATGTACAGTTGAATTTAGTTTAACATTATTTATTAAACTTAATAATGAATAGCAACAGAAAAGACTAACACTGCAGTTGTCACATTGATATAGCTTTATTCTCTTGTATATATATATCATACTAAAAATAAACACAAGTTTAAAAAAAAAATCCAAACAGAGAAACTGTACAAAAACATTTAAATTACAGAACAGTCTACTGTCCAAAAAAGGCACTAAATTCTGAAATGGGCGAAACAGTAATTCAGAAGATAACTATTGGAGATAGATTGATACAACAGCATTCAGTCATGGATTTATTTTCAAAGAGCTATATTGAATGTTTTAATTGAATGTAGTTGATATTTACTGGGGACAGGTGACATGGAGGTAAGTGTAGGTGGTCGCCTGAACCTTGACCCTGACACAGCACAAACACCCCCCGTTCAGGGGCGGACTGGGACCACAAATCGGCCCTGGCATTTAACACACTAGCCCATCTTTTAATTTATTTAATTTTTTTAAATTGAAGCACCCACAGCAGCTTTTTTTTCTCCCATTATTAGCCAAATAATAATCATTCTCCGCAATGACCTCCAATTTAGTCAGGCCCCCTGGGCTACAGATGGAACAATTTATCCTGCATCGTCCGCCTCTGACCCCCTTGCACTGGGCTCAACAAATGGGAGTACAAGGAGAGGAACCTGAGGTTACTTTCAGGTGTCTAACGTTTGTTCTTCTTCCATTTTATTTGTGTTAGCTCCCTGAGCTAATGCCTGGGCTTAAAGTTGGCGTAGTAATTTTGTTTTACTTGAATACTGCTAGAACGTTCTAGCATACAGGACCTGTACCACAGCACTCCTTCAGGTTGGGAGGCGCTACTACAGGAGAGTACATAACAGGACAATTCCCCTTCAATATAGGGGTGCTTTGCTTTCACACAATACAATATCTTGTCATCTCAAACACACATGGAAACTGTTCTTCATGAGAAGGGGATAAAACACAACAGTGGAATAATAAAACAATACAAAATGGAGAAAAATAAACAAATCAAGAACCGTTGATTGATTTGACAATAAAATCATAATGTTCATTTCCAAACATATCCTTGTCATAGTGTTACACCATAAGAACATAAACTAAATATAAATACACTTGCATTTTTTCTTTATCCTCTTTTCTTCCAAGGACAGCAAACCCAGCGCAGGGTTAGGGCTAGAGTCAAGCAGAGCTTCAACTCAGGAGCAGCAGAATTCAATATATAATACCAGTCAGATAAATACCCTTTTCACACTATAGGGCCGAACCAAACCAAACTGTGCTGGCTTAGATATTGTCCTTTAACATTGTCCATTCCAGCACGGTTCCAACAACTACGGTGGGTGCCTAACCTGGCCAGAGCAGTACATCTCTGCTCAGCTCTGCTTGACTCATAAGTGTGAAAAGGGTCAACCCCATCTTTTAAAAGCACATATTTCTTTAAACTATTAGAGAAGCGGCATCTTAAGAGTAAGTAGTAATACGTAGAGATAAAATGATGAGGAAGTTTATCTTTATGAAGTAGTAGCTAAACTGAGAGGGTTTCTAAATGTGTTGGCAGCTTGATATCCACAGTATTCTCTTATAGCAGTTGTTGTAACTCTAAAACACATAGACCTGACAGTACCATCATAGAAAATAAAAATTCTGTTTCTATGGTACCCATACAGTACCCACTCACTTACAGGTAACTGACAAAATAAAGGAAACCCCAACATAAAGCGTCTTAATAGGGCATTGGGCCACCACGAGCCAGAACAGCTTCAATGCACCTTGGCATAGATTCTACAAGTGTCTGGAACTCTATTGGAGGGATGCAACACCATTTCTTCCACGAGAAATAACATAATTTGGGTGTTTTGTTGATGGTGGTGGAAAAACGCTGTCTCAGGCGCTGCTCCAGAACCTCACATAAGAGTTCAATTGGGTTGAGATCTGGTTCACATCGTTTTAATGCTCATCAAATCAAATCAATCAGTGACCACTCGGTGCCCTGTGGATGGGGGCATCGTCATAGTAACGGCCAAAAGAATGGCCTGCACAGCATTTTTAGACATGACCCTAAGCATGATGGGATGTTTAATTGCTTAATTAATTCAGGTACCGCACCTGTGTGGAAGCGCCTGCTTTCAAAATACTTTGTATCCCTCATTTACTCATCTAGGCAGTTCCTCGTCTATCCACTGTCTGGCAGTTGATCTAACGTTGGTCTCAAACTCAACTCCACGGAGCGTCCACAGGTTCACTCCTCCATTGTACCTGATCAATCAATTAAGGTCATTGATTAGTTAGTTACTCCCTTCACCTAGTTGTCTTGAATAGATTAGTTAGTTACTCCCTTCACCTGGTTGTCTTTAATAGATTAGTTAGTTACTCCCTTCACCTGGTTGTATTTAATAGATTAGTTAGTTACTCCCTTCACCTGGTTGTCTTTAATAGATTAGTTAGTTACCCCTCCACCTGGTTGTCTAGGTCTTAGTAGATTAGTTAGTTACTCCCTCCACCTGGTTGTCTAGGTCTTGGTAGATTAGTTATTTACCCCCTCCACCTGGTTGTCTAGGTCTTATTAGATTAGTTAGTTACTCCCTCCACCTGGTTGTCTAGGTCTTATTAGATTAGTTAGTTACCCCCTCCACCTGGTTGTCTAGGTCTTATTAGATTAGTTAGTTACCCCCTCCACCTGGTTGTCTAGGTCTTAGTAGATTAGTTAGTTACTCCCTCCACCTGGTTGTCTAGGTCTTAGTAGATTAGTTAGTTACTCCCTCACCTGGTCGTCTAGGTCTTAGTAGATTAGTTAGTTACCCCCTCCACCTGGTCGTCTAGGTCTTATTAGATTAGTTAGTTACTCCCTCCACCTGGTTGTCTAGGTCTTAGTAGATTAGTTAGTTACCCCCTCCACCTGGTTGTCTAGGTCTTATTAGATTAGTTAGTTACTCCCTCCACCTGGTTGTCTAGGTCTTAGTAGATTAGTTAGTTACTCCCTTCACCTGGTTGTCTAGGTCTTAGTAGGACACGACTTGAAAGGAAATTTAAAAAAAACAGCACACACCACCCTTCAGGAATTGAGTTTCACGTCCCTGATCTAGGGGTTAAACAGAACTCTGCCAATGGTGGGGTGAGTTTCACGTCCCTGATCTAGGGGTTAAACAGAACTCTGCCAATGGTGGGGTGAGTTACACAACAGCTTTGTGCTGTAGTACTAAGACCATCTGTCACACATTCCCTCCAATGGACTTAACGTATCCTATCAATGGACTGAGTTTAGTGCAACAAAGCTTTTAGGAAACTCACCCGCTGTTAGTTACTGTAGCTAATTCACTTTGGATAAAGCTGAACACAAAGAAAATACCCTCTTTTTTGGTTTTTTTGGGGGCTCTCTGGTCAGTTTGAGCAGCTCAGAGAGCACATATTATCCACTGAAATAATGTTGTTAAACTGACCAAGAGTCAGAGCCATGTACCTAATCTGGGGGTGTATTCATTAGTCACACTGTAGCAAAACGTTTTGCAACAGAAACCGTTTACTCCAAACAGTAAACAGTTTGCAACAAAAACAAGTTTCTTTTGGACAAATTCTGGTAGGTTCCTCCCCGTTCTGCTGTTTCCTTCCGTTTGGTTCATGGTGAATATAACCCTGTTCTAACATCTCATCTGGCTTTGGATGGTACTGCTTGCTTTCCAATTTTAGAACGCGTCGATTGCCTTTTTCCACCTGCACATAACTGTCCGTTACATGAAAGGGAACTTTTTTATTTCTGCTGGCCGTTCGATTCAAAGAACACACGGACATGGGAAAAGAACACACAGACGTGGGAAAAGAACACACGGACATGGGAAAAGAACACACGGACGTGGTAAAAGAACACACGGACGTGGGAAAAGAACACACGGACATGGGAAAAGAACACACGGACGTGGTAAAAGAACACACGGACGTGGGAAAAGAACACACGGACGTGGTAAAAGAACACACGGACGTGGGAAAAGAACACACGGACGTGGGAAAAGAACACACGGACGTGGAAAGAACACACGGACGTGGAAAAGAACACACGGACGTGGGAAAAGAACACACGGACATGGGAAAAGAACACACGGACGTGGTAAAAGAACACACGGACGTGGGAAAAGAACACACGGACGTGGTAAAAGAACACACGGACGTGGGAAAAGAACACACGGACGTGGGAAAAGAACACACGGACATGGGAAAAGAACACACGGACGTGGAAAAGAACACACGGACGTGGTAAAAGAACACACGGACGTGGGAAAAGAACACACGGACATGGTAAAAGAACACACGGACATGGAAAAGAACACACGGACATGGCAAAAGACACACACGGAACATGGGGCAAAAGAACACACGGACGTGGGAAAAGAACACACGGACATGGTAAAAAACACACGGACGTGGGAAAAGAACACACGGACATGGAAAAGAACACCGACGTGGAAAACACACAAAAAAAACACGACGTGGCAAAACAACAAGGACTGGTAAAAACACACAGGAAGACCCGACGTGGTAAAAAACACACGACTGGTAAAAAACACACGGACATGGAAAACAACACACGGACATGGTAAACAAAACTGAAAAACACACGGACGTGGCAAAACAACACACGGACGTGGCAAAACAACACACGGACGTGGCAAAACAACACACGGACATGGTAAAACAACACACAGACATGGTAAAAGAACACAAGGACATGGTAAAACAACACACGCACATGGTAAAACAACACACGGACATGGTAAAAGCAAATTATACAATGTTAAAAACAATGTCAATGTTTACAAACAAAGCGTTAAGATTCCAGTAGGAATGAAAGCTCTAGAGTGCAGGATACATGGAACAGTACAGAACAGTCTCTAGTCCAATCAGAACAGTCCAATCCACAAACAGATAGTTCTCAACTGACTGTTCTGTGGCAGGGTGGCCGACTAAATCCATCCATTCCTCGCTCTCGCTCAGAATTATTAGTAAGAGGCCACCGATGCTCTACCAATGCATTGCACAAGGAAAGCGGTTCAGGGTAGCACAATGATGGAGATGAGAACCATAGAAATGGAATCACTTCTATTCTAAAATAGAATAATGTCTCTGAGAACCATATATACACACTACTACTGCTGCTACTACTACTACTACTACTACTGCTCCCAGGCAGGGTTGAGGTGAGTGGTGCTGGGATCAGGGCCAGTGGCACCATGTTGGGGGGAAGGTCTAGAAAACCAGCCTCCTATATATCTTTTTCACTGTGATGAGAACAGGGCAGGGTACAGTACACTGGGCTGTGAAGGTGCTGAGAACACATGGGGAAGGAAGGAAGGAAGGAAGGAAGGAAGGAAGGAAGGAAGGAAGGAAGGGGGCTGGAGTTGGATAGCTTCATTTGGTCATCTTGGCATTCCTTTACCCAGTCAGACAATCATTTGCACGCGCTCGCAGACCCACACGTCCTGATTATTACCCTTCGTTCTCCTCTCCTTCCTCCCTCAGCCACTCCCCTGCCTCTCTATCCTTCCCCCCCATGTTGTCCTCTTCCAGTAACCCCCTCCCCTCTTCCCCATGTTGTCCTCGTCCAGTAACCCCCTCTCTTCATCCCCTCCCCATGTTGTCCTCGTCCAGTAACCCCCTCCCCTCTTCCCCATGTTGTCGTCGTCCAGTAACCCCCTCTCTTCATCCCCTCCCCATGTTGTCCTCGTCCAGTAACCCCCTCCCCTCTTCCCCATGTTGTCCTCGTCCAGTAACCCCCTCCCCTCTTCCCCATGTTGTCCTCGTCCAGTAACCCCCTCTCTTCATCCCCCTCCCCCTGTTCATCATCGTCCAGTAACCCCCTCCCCCTCTCCCCATGTTGTCCTCGTCCAATAACCCCCCTCCCCTCTTCCCGTCCCCCTCCCCCTGTTCAGTCAATCGTCCAGTAACCCCCCTCCCCTCTTCCCCATGTTGTCCTCGTCCAGTAACCCCCTCCCCTCTTCCCTCCCCATGTTGTCCTCGTCCAGTAACCCCCTCCCTCATCCCCTCTCATGTTGTCCTCGTCAGTCTCTCCAGTATACCCCTCCCTCCCTGTCTCCCAGTAACTCCCCTCCTTCCCTCCCTTTTCATCTCGTCCAGTCCCCCTCTTCCCTCTTCATTGTCAGTCCATAACCCCCTCCCCTCTCTACCCCTCCCCCTGTTCAGTTCATGTCCAGTAACCCCCTCCCCTCTTCCCATGTTCCTCGTCCACCCCCCTCCTGTTCAGTCCATGTCCAGTAACCCCCCTCCCCTCTTCCCCCTCCCCCTGTTCAGTCATCGTCAGAGTAGTAACCCCCTACCCTCTTCCCCCTCCTCCCCCCGCGTTCAGTCCCGCGTTCAGTAACACCCCTCCCCTCTTCCCCCTCCCTCCTGGTCAAGTCATCGTCCAGGGCCTCTGTCTTAATTGTCGCTGGGCACCCCTCCGGTCCGGGACAGAGCCAGGATGGTGTGGTTGACTGCAGCCATCTCCACGGCCAGAGAGATGGGGTCCTGGTGGTCCCCGTGGCCTGGACCATCATCCTAGGAGGAGGAGAGATCATCGACATGGAAAGATGTCACACCTTTTACACTTGTAATGGCTAACTTCTGCATTTTAAAGTAGTCAATTTCTTGTTCTAGTTCTATTAGTGCATTGGCAGTAAAATGGTGCACACCACCACCTACTGTGCTTCAGTGGATTGTCTTAACAGGTATAAAGCCAAAGTTGGTGATTTACTGCCACCTGCAGTTATGGAATCTTTACTCAGGAGTATAATTCATTGGCTGACCCATCCTGATGACCTGGATGGAATCCTGTGACCCTTCCTTAACCCATAGCAAAGATGATCAATTATAAAAGATATTTGAGTGACTGCTCTAATGGAGAAATCAGGTGGGACCATTCTAGCCAATGAGATGGCTGTGAACAACAGGCACAACGCCGATATAAAGTAGTATTTTTGAAAGCTGCCGAAACGCCACTTATATATCAGTGCTATGGTAACAACCTAACCATTTCGGAACTTCTATTAGATCAAATAAGCCTCACGTAGAAAATTAGCAATAAAACATTTTTGGGGATTAAATTCGACACTCATGGACCTCAGTACAACAATTCCTCACTTCGTGGTCTTTATTTCTGTGGACAGATTTTGGGCCGAGTAAACCCTCTCGCTTCCCCTCTTCCTCTCAGCCCATAACAAGTCCCACCCAAAGGGGCCAGGGTTCTGGTATAGAAGCACGGTTGACTGCCCCTACTGTTTTTCTTTGGTACTGCAGTTTAACTGACGCACGGCCCAGAAAGACAATTTCCGTACACGGCCACATAGAGAAGATTTGAAAATTCCTAATAAGACACTTTAGTCATCACCTTTGTGCAACAAAAAAAATAACTTGTCGCTGAGGCCAATTATTTTTTTCCATCACGCTCAGCCGAAGATACTGTTTTAACATTTTATATTAATCCGACGTCTGCCATGTTTTTGGATGACGTTATGACGTTGTCGCTACTCCCTGTGTGCGCCGAGTGCTAGTGTGCATGTGATGTTGGATATAGACGATCCATGAATCGGCGTATGCAAACGTGAGTAGATCATCTTGAAAACAACGGTCGACCATCTTGGACGCAGTCTCCAGTTCTTATTATATCTCAGTGGTACCACCCAGATGACTACTTCAAAATGGAGATAGCCCCAGTAGTGACTAGTCATCGGAGCATATTGACTGGTGAAAGATGCTGCCCATCTAACATGGGACTCTGGTTAGGGAGGGGAGCAGGCAGAGATGTAGTTGAGTATATTTACCAATAATACATGAGGCCATGTGTTATGACATTTATATCATGGCTGTGATGTGGTCATGGCTACGAGGTGAAGCCGAGTGGCAGAGAGTCGTAGACCACCACAGCCATGATACATATGTATTATTGCTTTTAACGGGTTACCAGCATTAAAAAACAAGATTCTTTCCCAAACCATACATCTTTCAACAAAACACAATGCTACATTCACGAACACTGGTTGTCAAGAGCAATTTTAGGCGTTCTCTTGTCGTTAGTTATATTCGTATTGACTGCCATGTAAAGCAAAACTACCCAAGCGCTGGTTGCCATAGCAACCAAAGTTCTGGAACTATCCAACCAAAATGGTTGCTATGGAAGCTCTTCCCCTTGCTAGCTAGCCAACTACACAGCTAACACAATCACTTCAGACTGAAGCTTGAAAGACAGCAAACTAGCTGCATTTCGTTTATAAATTACATGTCTGGGCAGATGAGACAGTGGTCCCTGGTCCTGGCTCCATACCTGTCCCTGGTCCTGGCTGCATACCTGTGTGGGTGAAGTGGGCTCCAGCCTGTAGAAGCCAAAGGGTCTGGCCATGGGTCTCTTGTCGAAGTAGGGCAGGTCACAGGCCTGTTCTGTATAGTCCCCTCCATCGATGTCGTCGCTGTTGGAGTGGCCTCCAGGACTCTGGACGTCTATCCCATGGCTCTCCAGGATTGTGGCTTCTTGGGAAAACAGAATATAATTTCATGATGTGTAGCCTAACGTGCGCAATGTTGTGCCAAACTTTGATTTAGTGCATTATTATAGGGTAAGCATTATAATAAGCCGCCTCATATTTGCAGCCGTAGGTGATGATATATTTCTAGGACCTGATCCATTGTCAGTATCGTGGAATAAATATAATGGTAATATAAGATTTGAATGGAGAACACTGATCCGAGAGCAGTTCTTCCTTTCTTTCAATCCTACAGTATCAACATATGCCTCAACAACGCACTTAGCAAACATTCTGTCTGCGTGGTGTTTTGAGAAACGTATGTTACATCTTAAGGCCGTGGTAGGAAAGATGCTTTGTTTAAAACACTCCTAAGCCTAAATTCCATCGCTATCGGAAAACCGGGCCCTGGTTCTTTGAGTCTTTATTACAACAGATACCTATCGACCCCAAGCCACGTTACCAATATTAGCCTGTCCGCAAGCCACGTTACCAATATTAGCCCAAGCGTCCCCAAGCCCACGTTACCAATATTAGCCCAAGCGTCCCCAAGCCCACGTTACCAATATTAGCCCAAGCGTCCCCAAGCCCACGTTACCAATATTAGCCCAAGCGTCCCCAAGCCCACGTTACCAACATTAGCCCAAGCGTCCCCAAGCCCACGTTACCAACATTAGCCCAAGCGTCCCCAAGCCCACGTTACCAATATTAGCCCAAGCGTCCCCAAGCCCACGTTACCAATATTAGCCCAAGTGTCCCCAAGCCCACGTTACCAATATTAGCCCAAGCGTCCCCAAGCCCACGTTACCAATATTAGCCCAAGCGTCCCCAAGCCCACGTTACCAATATTAGCCTGTCCCCAAGCCCACGTTACCAATATTAGCCCAAGTGTCCCCAAGCCCACATTACCAATATTAGCCCAAGTGTCCCCAAGCCCACATTACCAATATTAGCCCAAGTGTCCCCAAGCCCACATTACCAATATTAGCCTGTCCCCAAGCCCACGTTACCAATATTAGCCCAGCGTCCCCAAGCCCACGTTACCAATATTAGCCCAAGCGTCCCCAAGCCCACGTTACCAATATTAGCCTGTCCCCAAGCCCACATTACCAATATTAGCCCAAGCGTCCCCAAGCCCACGTTACCAATATTAGCCCAAGTGTCCCCAAGCCCACGTTACCAATATTAGCCCAAGCGTCCCCAAGCCCACGTTAACCAATATTAGCCCAAGCGTCCCCAAGCCCACATTACCAATATTAGCCTGTCCCCAAGCCCACGTTACCAACATTAGCCCAAGCGTCCCCAAGCCCACGTTACCAATATTAGCCCAGCGTCCCCAAGCCCACGTTACCAATATTAGCCCAGCGTCCCCAAGCCCACGTTACCAATATTAGCCTGTCCCCAAGCCCACGTTACCAATATTAGCCCAAGCGTCCCCAAGCCCACGTTACCAATATTAGCCTGTCCCCAAGCCCACGTTACCAATATTAGCCCAAGCGTCCCCAAGCCCACGTTACCAATATTAGCCCAGCGTCCCCAAGCCCATGTTACCAATATTAGCCCAAGCGTCCCCAAGCCCACGTTACCAATATTAGCCCAAGTGTCCCCAAGCCCACGTTACCAACATTAGCCCAAGCGTCCCCAAGCCCACGTTACCAATATTAGCCCAAGTGTCCCCAAGCCCACGTTACCAATATTAGCCCGTCTCTTGATCTCTTTGCGTCGGTTGGCAAACCAGTTGTAGACTTTGAGGGATGTGACTCTCTCCAGGTCCGATAGCTTCTTCCCTGGAATAAAACAACATTCATGAGATTATTACGAGATCATTCCACAGATTATTATTATTATTATTGCATACAATAAATTATATTCCTTAGGGCAAAGTATGCTGATTTGTACATTTACACTTCAGTCATTTAGCAGACGCTCTTATCCAGAGCGACTAACAGGAGCAATTAGGGTTAAGTGCCTTGCTCAAGGGCACAGACAGATTTTTCACCTAGTCGGCTCGGGGATTAGAACCAGCGACCTTTCGGTTACTGGCACAACGCTCTTAACCACTAAGCTACCTGCCGCCCTTAACTTAAGGTAGCTAGGTAAGACAGACAACCAACCACATATCACAATCACTGTATGTACTTTCCTCAATAAAGCAGCTATCAGCAAAATCAGGTCAGGTAAGAAAAAGGTGTGCACGTCTTAGAACAAGAACGGCCAGCACAACGGTAAGGTGGACAGAAGGAAATACCTGGTTTCTGGATTACCGCGTTGCAGGCGTTGGCGATCTCCTCTCTCTTGGCTTCGTCAGGGTACTGGTTGTCATTGAAGTAGCTGAGGAGAGGAGAGGAGGCGACAGTCATGAGGAGAGGAGGCGACAGTCATGAGGAGAGGAGGCGACAGTCATGAGGAGAGGAGGCGACAGTCATGAGGAGAGGAGGCGACAGTCATGAGGAGAGGAGGCGACAGTCACGTCAAAACACACAGATTTAGACTGCGTCCCAAATGGCACCCTATTTCCCACCTCTCTCCTTTTCTCTTTCTCAAAACCCATTGGATGAGATGGGGAGAGGTCCCTCACCTCTGCCCCTCTCATCCAATGGTTTTGAGAAGAGAGGACGCGAGGTTGAGATTCTCCCCTATGTAGTGCACTACTGTTGACCAGGGCCCTCTCCTCGCATCTCCCCACCTAGAAGGCGCCGAGCTCCAACTGCGCCCACCTCTCCCCCTCACACGCCCACGCGCGCCTCCAACGCGCCCTCCACCCCCACACCTTCCCAACTCTCCCCCCCCACCCCAAACGCTGTCCCTCTCCCCCCACCCTCATCCTCCTCCCCCCCACCTCTCCGACACCGTCCGCCGCGCCCCTCCCATCCGTAGTCCTCCTCTCCCACCTCCCACCTCAATCCTGACCGTCACCTCCCCCATCCTCCTCTCTCACCTCCTCACGTCTCTCTCCCTCCCCTACCTCCTCTCTCTTCCCCTCCTCATCCTCTCTTCCCTGCTCTCCTTCTCCTTCTCTATCCCCCTCCCCTCATCTCTGCTCCTTCTCTCCCCCCATCTCTTCACCTCTCCATCACAGCCAGACATTCCTTCCTCCAGGTAAAGCGACTCCCACGCCGTAGCCGGAAGTTCCCGGGGGCGGTGCTTATAGGGGGTGGGGTCTGTCTCCACTCCATCTCCTCCAGAGCCATGGGGGCGGGGCACATGTTTAGAGTGGCACCTGGAGGAGCCAATAGAGAGAAAGCATTAGGTTAAGCCTTTATAACATGTCTCGTATTCACTTGACACCAAATGGAACCAAACGGGCTGAAATTGTTTTAGTTTTCCGATGCTGAACGTTTTGAAACCTTTTGCTCAAATGAATAGGTCCCAGCATTGGAGTGGCATTCCTCAGTGACTAAGAACGTTTTCTGATAGCACCTGCAGAATTAGAGGTGGAATTGTGAAGGACTGTGTGTGTGTGTGTGTGTGTGTGTGTGTGTAGTTAATGCCGAGTTCCATAGAATAATATAATTCAGCAGAAGACAAGGATGTTTCCTACATGATTAACCACACAGAGAGAGCGAGAGACAGACGAACACACACAGGAGTACCTGGGGTGGTCTTCTCTAGCTGGTACCAGCGGTAGAAAGCTCTCTTCTTCTGTTCGCTGAGATCAGAGCCGTGCTGGAGCAACCAATGAGAGATCCTGCTCTGACTGATACCTGGAACCCCCCACACACACACACACACAGTTTTTTTTTAAACAGTCCTACCAGGCAATAAACGTACAGCTGCAAGTGAGACTTAGCTACAATTCTCTTCGCTTTATGTGTTATCACTGTACTGCCTGTACTTACAAACACATCACTAATGTAGCTATCACTGTATTGCCTATATACAGTGAGGGAAAAAAGTATTTGATCCCCTGCTGATTTTGTACGTTTGCCCACTGACAAAGACATGATCAGTCTATAATTTTAAATGGTAGGTTTATTTGAACAGTGAGAGACAGAATAACATGTCAAAAATGTCAAAAATGTTATAAATTGATTTGCATTTTAATGAGGGAAATAAGTATTTGACCCCCTCTGAATCAGAAAGATTTCTGGCTCCCAGGTGTCTTTTATACAGGTAACGAGCTGAGATTAGGAGCACACTCTTAAAGGGAGTGCTCCTAATCTCAGCTTGTTACCTGTATAAAAGACACCTGTCCACAGAAGCAATCAATCAATCAGATTCCAAACTCTCCACCATGGCCAAGACCAAAGAGCTCTCCAAGGATGTCAGGGACAAGATTGTAGACCTACACAAGGCTGGAATGGGCTACAAGACCATCGGCAAGCAGCTTGGTGAGAAGGTGACAACAGTTGGTGCGATTATTCGCAAATGGAAGAAACACAAAAGAACTGTCAATCTCCCTCGGCCTGGGGCTCCATACAAGATCTCACCTCGTGGAGTTGCAATGATCATGAGAACGGTGAGGAATCAGCCCAGAACTACACAGGAGGATCTTGTCAATGATCTCAAGGCAGCTGAGACCATAGTCACCAAGAAAACAATTGGTAACACACTACGCCGTGAAGGACTGAAATCCTGCAGCGCCCGCAAGGTCCCTCTGCTCAAGAAAGCACATATACATGCCCGTCTGAAGTTTGCCAATTAACATCTAAATGATTCAGAGGAGAACTGGGTGAAAGTGTTGTGGTCAGATGAGACCAAAATGGAGCTCTTTGGCATCAACTCAACTCGCCGTGTTTGGAGGAGGAGGAATGCTGCCTATGACCCCAAGAACACCATCCCCACCGTCAAACATGGAGGTGGAAACATTATGCTTTGGGGGTGTTTTTCTAGTAAGGGGACAGGACAACTTCACCGCATCAAAGGGACGATGGACGGGCCATGTACCGTCAAATCTTGGGTGAGAACCTCCTTCCCTCAGCCAGGGCATTGAAAATGGGTCGTGGATGGGTATTCCAGCATGACAATGACCCAAAACACACGGCCAAGGCAACAAAGGAGTGGCTCAAGAAGAAACACATTAAGGTCCTGGAGTGGCCTAGCCAGTCTCCAGACCTTAATCCCATAGAAAATCTGTGGAGGGAGCTGAAGGTTTGAGTTGCCAAACATCAGCCTCGAAACCTTAATGACTTGGTGAAGATCTGCAAAGAGGAGTGGGACAAAATCCCTCCTGAGATGTGTGCAAACCTGTTGGCCAACTACAAGAAACGTCTGACCTCTGTGATTGCCAACAAGGGTTTTGCCACCAAGTACTAAGTCATGTTTTGCAGAGGGGTCAAATACTTATTTCCCTCATTAAAATGCAAATCAATTTATAACATTTTTGACATGTGTTTTTCTGGATTTTTTTGTTGTTATTCTGTCTCTCACTGTTCAAATAAACCTACCATTTAAATTTATAGACTGATCATTTCTTTGTCAGTGGGCAAACGTACAAAATCAGCAGGGGATCAAATACTTTTTTCCCTCACTGTATACACACTACCGTTCAAAAGTTTGGGGTCACTTAGAAATGTCCTTGTTTTCGAAAGAAAAGCAATTTTTATGTCCATTAAAATAACATCAAATTGATCAGAAATACAGTGTAGACATTGTTAATGTTGTAAATGGCTATTGTAGCTGGAAATGGCTGATTTTTTATGGAATATCTACATAGGCGTACAGAGGCCCATTATCAGCAACCATCAGTCCTGTGTTCCAATGGCACGTTGTGTTTGCTAATCCAAGTTTATCATTTTAAAAGGCTAATTGATCATTAGAAAACCCTTTTGCAATTATGTTAGCACAGCTGAAAACTGTTGTGCTGATTAAAGAAGCAATAAAACTGGCCTTCTTGAGACTAGATGAGTATCTGGAGCATCAGCAATTGTGGGTTCGATTACAGGCTCAAAATGGCCAGAAACAAATAACTTTCTTCTGAAGTAAAGAACTTTCTTCTGAAACTCGTCAGTCTATTCTTGTTCTGAGAAATGAAGGCTATTCCATGCGAGAAATTGCCAAGAAACTGAAGATCCCGTACAACGCTGTGTACTACTCCCTTCACAGAACAGCGCAAACTGGCTCTAAATGTGTGTATATATATATATATATATATATATATAGGCAGTACAGTGATAGCTACATTAGTGGTGTGTGTATATACAGTGTATCCGGAAAGTATTCAGACCCCTTGACTTTTTCCACATTTTGTTAGGTTATAACCTTATTCTAAAATGGATTAAATTGTTTTTTCCCTCTCATCAATCTACACACAATACTCCATACTGACAAAGCAAAAACAGGTTTTTAGAATTTTTTGCAAATGTATTAGAACCCCCCCCCCCCCCCCCCTGAAATATCACATTTACATAAGTATTCAGACCCTTTACTCAGTACTTTGTTGAAGCACCTTTAGCAGCGATTACAGCCTTGGGTCTTCTTGGGTATGACGCTACAAGCTTGGCACACCTGTATTTGGGGAGTTTCTCCCATTCTTCTCTGCAGATCCTCTCAAGCTCTGTCAGGTTGGATGGGGAGCATCACTGCACAACTATTTTCAGGTCTCTCCAGAGATGTTCGATCAGGTTCAAGTCCGGGCTCTGGCTGGGACACTCAAGGACATTCAGAGACTTGTCCCGAAGCCACTCCTGCGTTGTCTTGGCTGTGTGCTTAGGGTCGTTGTCCTGTTGGAAGGTGAACCGTCAACCCAGTCTGAGGTTCTGAGCACTCTGGAGCAGGTTTTCATCAAGGATCTCTCAGTACTTTGCTCTGTTCATCTTTCCCTCGATCCTGACTAGTCTTCCAGTCCCTGCCGCTGAAAAACATCCCCACAGCATGATGCTGCTACCAGCACCACCATGCTTCACCATTGGGATGGTGCCAGGTTGGGACGTGACACTTGGTATTCAGGCCAAAGTGTTCAATCTTGGTATCATCAGACCAGAGAATCTTGTTTCTCATGGTCTGAGAGTCCTTTAGGTGCCTTTTGGCAAACTCCAAGCGGGCTGTCATGTGCCTTTTACTGAGGAGTGGCTTCCGTCTGGCCACTCTACCATAAAGGCCTGATTGGTGGAGTGCTGCAGAGATGGTTGTCCTTCTGGAAGGTTCTCCCATCACCACAGAGGAACTCTAGAGCTCTGTCAGAGTGACCATTGGGTTCTTGGTCACCTCCCTGACCAAGGCCCTTCTCCCCCGATTGCTCCGTTTGGCCAGGCGGCCAGCTCTAGGAAGAGTCTTGGTGGTTCCAAACTTCCTCCATTTAAGAACGGAGGCCACTTTGTTCTTGGAGACCTTCAATGCTGCAGACATTTTGTAGTACCCTTCCCCAGATCTGTGCCTCGGCACAATCCTGTCTCGGAGCTCTACGGACAATTCCTTCGACCTGATGGCTTGGTTTTTGTTCTGACATGCACTGTCAACTCTGGGACCTTATATAGGCAGGTGTGTGCCTTTCCAAATAATGTCCAAACAATTTAATTTACCACAGGTGGACTCCAATCAAGTTGTAGAAACATCTCAAGGATGATCAATGGAAACAGGATGCACCTGAGCTCAATTTCGAGTCACATAGCAAAGGGTCTGAATACTTATGTAAATAAGGTATTCTTTTATTTTGATTTTTTATAAATTTACAAAAATGTCTAAAAACCTGTTTTTGCTTTGTCATTATGGGGTATTGTATGTAAAGTAATTAGGACAAAATTTCATTTATTCATATATATACACATCACTAATGTAGCGATCACTGTACTGCCTATATACTTAAGTAGATGTCTGGTGAAATAAAGGCTATTCAATTCAATCCTATGTCTGTTCGAAAGTTGATTGCTGTGTGAAGCTTGTAGTGTGGGGTTGTCAATTATAGTGGAAGCTTCAAGGTCTTACTGACCTGGGCCACCACAGAATGTGTGTGTGTGTGTGTGTGTGTGTGTGTGTGTGTGTGTCCTCACTGACCTGTGACCTGAGCCACCACAGCCTGAGAGATTCTCCTGTTCCCCAGAAAGGACTTGATCTCCTCCTTGACGATACTGCTGTCCCTCCTGCACGCGAGCACACACACACACACACACACGACAGTACATAACTAAACATAGTTACGTTTGCTTTGTAAAATATGGACCGGTGTGTTTCCACTATCATGTAGTAGGGTGTCCAATCAAAAACGCATCTTTTGACCAACCTGTAAGAAAAACCAAAAAATGGATCCACACCTCAAGTCTCCATCATAATCCATTCAAAAGTTATTGGAGTTTTTAATCCTTGTAGAATGGCCAGAATTAGGGTGACTAAATCAATGGAGACCAGAGGAAGAAAGTGGTGAAATGTCAGGAAGAACGGCATGTGTCAAGCTAGGCTGGATGCTGTGAGAGAATGAAAGCCGCTGGCTACCTGACAGGCTCACTGCTGAACTCGTCACGTCTTCTCCAATCCACAGGACATAAAACAACATAGAGGTTTAAGATAGATATTGATTTGGAGAAATGACATGTGGTATTTTCATATTTGAGTATACGCTTTTCATATTAATTCCTGTGATTTTGAAGGAAGATTTCTCACAAAAAAACAAACGCATCTGTGAAATGTCAACGGAGCACTGAGATTTTTATTTTCCCAAAGCCTTTTACATTTAATTCAGCTCGTGTCACGCTAATTTAGCTTTTTGCGACAAGCGGAAACAACTTTGAAGACGACGACCACGAAATGTAAAATCCTCAAAAGTTATGAGAAACCTGCACCGTTATGTAAAAAAAAATCCAACTTTTTGGATATAATGTCAATGATATGTTAGAGAAAGACCCCACTGAATGATTCAGAACATGAAGAATCATATTTGTCTTGTTAAAATGTATTTTGTAACATAAGGAAGTACAATTTAATCTCCAAAGCTTGCTTTCTGGACAGAGTGGGTGGACACCCTACATACAGACAGAGTGGGTGGACACCCTACACATACAGACAGAGTGGGTGGACACCCTACATATAGACAGAGTGGGTGGACACCCTACACATACAGACAGAGTGGGTGGACACCCTACACATACAGACAGAGTGGGTGGACACCCTACACAGACAGAGTGGGTGGACACCCTACATATAGACAGAGTGGGTGGACACCCTACACATACAGACAGAGTGGGTGGAAACCCTACACATACAGACAGAGTGGGTGGACACCCTACACATACAGACAGAGTGGGTGGACACCCTACATACAGACAGAGTGGGTGGACACCCTACACATACAGACAGAGTGGGTGGACACCCTACACATACAGACAGAGTGGGTGGACACCCTACATACAGACAGAGTGGGTGGACACCCTACACATACAGGCAGAGTGGGTGGACACCCTACATACAGACAGAGTGGGTGGACACCCTACATACAGGCAGAGTGGGTGGACACCCTACATATAGACAGAGTGGGTGGACACCCTACATACAGGCAGAGTGGGTGGACACCCTACATACAGACAGAGTGGGTGGACACCCTACATATAGACAGAGTGGGTGGACACCCTACACATACAGGCAGAGTGGGTGGACACCCTACATACAGACAGAGTGGGTGGACACCCTACATACAGACAGAGTGGGTGGACACCCTACATACAGACAGAGTGGGTGGACACCCTACATACAGACAGAGTGGGTGGACACCCTACATACAGACAGAGTGGGTGGACACCCTACATATAGGCAGAGTGGGTGGACACCCTACATACAGACAGAGTGGGTGGACACCCTACATACAGACAGAGTGGGTGGACACCCTACATACAGACAGAGTGGGTGGACACCCTACATACAGACAGAGTGGGTGGACACCCTACATATAGACAGAGTGGGTGGACACCCTACATACAGACAGAGTGGGTGGACACCCTACATACAGACAGAGTGGGTGGACACCCTACATACAGACAGAGTGGGTGGACACCCTACATACAGACAGAGTGGGTGGACACCCTACACATACAGACAGAGTGGGTGGACACCCTACATACAGGCAGAGTGGGTGGACACCCTACATACAGACAGAGTGGGTGGACACCCTACATACAGACAGAGTGGGTGGACACCCTACATATAGACAGAGTGGGTGGACACCCTACATATAGACAGAGTGGGTGGACACCCTACATATAGGCAGAGTGGGTGGACACCCTACATACAGACAGAGTGGGTGGACACCCTACATATAGACAGAGTGGGTGGACACCCTACATACAGACAGAGTGGGTGGACACCCCTTGCCTATTGCAATTTCCCTTCAATTGGTTTTAGTGGGCTGAAAGTAGGTGCCTTTGAGACCTGATCTGACGAGGTGTAAGACGGGGTGTACATCCATAGCTGCCTGCAAGTACTCGCTGTTCCACACTCTCTTCAGATTTCACAGATCGAATGAGTCACGCCTCTTCCTCCATCCAGATCAATATCCTCACTTCTCCCTCACTGAGGCGCAGCTAAAATTAGCTAGACCCACAAAGAAAGGCTGCTGCTTATCGACACCACAAGGCTACATCCCAAATGGCACCCTATTCCCTATATAGTGCACTACTTTTGACCAGATCATTATGTGCCTTGTTCAAAAGTAGTGCACTATATAAGGATTAGGATGACATTTGGGACAGGCCTTAAATCAGGAGGTAGGAGGGGGAGGGAGGAGATGGAGGGAGGAGGAGGGAGGAGGTGGGTGGAGGGTGAAGAGGAGCAAGGTGGGAGCAAGGACAATAGGAGGGGGAAGGAGGAGGTGGGTGGGTGGAGGAGGTGGAGGAGGGTGAGGGAGGAGGAGGGTGAGGGTGGAGGAGGGTGAGGTTGGAGGAGGTGGAGGAGGAGGAGGGTGAGGGTGGAGGAGGGTGAGGGAGGTGGAGGTGGGTGAGGGAGGAGGAGGGTGGAGGAGGTAGAGGGAGCAGGAGGGTGAGGGAGGAGGAGGGTGAGGGAAGAGGAGGGTGAGGGAGGAGGAGGGTGAGGGTGGAAGAGGGTGAGGGAGGAGGAGGGTGGAGGAGGGTGAGGGAGGAGGAGGGTGGAGGAGGGTGGATGGAGGGTGAGGTGGGTGGTGAGGGTGGGTGGGGGAGGAGGTGGAGGAGGGTGAGGGCTAACTGCTAAACCCAGCAGAGCCGAGAGAACAGAAAGAAACAGGCACCTAAAGGGGCGATCTGCAGTTTAAAAGTACAAAAATGTATGTACCAATCGTAGATTTCTCCTTTAAGATAATATCTTGAGTATAGAGGATAAAGTGGGGGGTGTTGAACGCAGCACCATACAACCCCGCAGCAGCACTCTGCAACATGAGACTGATCTGATCCCAGGGCTGCAGAGCGAAGGGGAGAATGTTTCTGAACGCTGCTACCCGTACAGGACATGATGTAACATAATGCACGTTCTAAGAGGGGGCAGACATGGTAGCAGGGCTTTTAACATTATAGTTACTGTACATCACAGCTATGCATTCATCCTGTTCTCCTGTTAACATAACAGATGCATAACATCAGCAGGATGACTGTTTGCATACATTTCGGTATGGGTGGCCCTCGCGGTAACTGAACCCACGACCCTGGCGTTGCTCTACCAACGGCCATAAACAAGACCACTCGTCCTTATTGGCACTACAGAGGGTACTGCGTACGGCCCAGTACATCACTGGGGCAAAGCTCCCTGCCATTCAGGACCTCTATACCAGGCGGTGTCAGAGGAAGGCCCTCAAAATTGTCAAAGACTCCAGCCACCCTAGTCATAGACTGTTCCTCTGCTACCGCACGGCAACGGTACCGGGAGTGCCAAGTCTAGGTCCAAAAGACTTCTCAACAGCTTCTACCCCCAAGCCATAAGACTCCTGAACAGCTAATCATGGCTACCCGACTATTTGCACTGCCCCCCACCCATCCTTTTTACGCTGCTGCTACTCTGTTAAGTATTTATGCATAGTCACTTTAACTCTACCCACTGTACATATTACCTCAACTACCTCAACTAGCGGTGCCCCCCGCACATTGACTCTGCAACCGGTACCCCCCTGTATATATAGCCTCCCTACTGTCACTTTATTTTACTGTATATATAGCCTCCCTACTGTCACTTTATTTTACTTCTGCTCTTTTTTTTCTCAACACTTTTTTTTGTTGTTGTTTTATTCTTACTTTTTTTGTTTAAAATAAATGCACTGTTGGTTAAGGGCTGTAAGTAAGCATTTCACTGTAATGTCTGCACCTGTTGTATTCGGCGCATGTGACCAATAAAATTTGATTTGATTTGATTTGATTTATTGCATTGCTCAAGAAGCATCAGATCAGAAACACAGCTTTAATAATAGTTTGTAAATAGTAAAAGTGGTAGCCTAAATGTTTTCATGCTTTTTAAGTGTGTGAAAGACAAAGCGCATCTGTGACTGATTTAGTCCTGATGGTGGTGGACTGGTGTATAAACTGATTAGGTCCTGATGGTGGTGGACTGGTGTATAAACTGATTTAGTCCTGATGGTGGTGGACTGGTGTATAAACTGATTTAGTCCTGATGTGGTGGACTGGTGTATAAACTGATTTAGTCCTGATGGTGGTGGACTGGTGTATAAACTGATTTAGTCCTGATGGTGGTGGACTGGTGTATAAACTGATTTAGTCCTGATGGTGGTGGACTGGTGTATAAACTGATTTAGTCCTGATGGTGGTGGACTGGTGTATAAACTGATTTAGTCCTGATGGTGGTGGACTGGTGTATAAACTGATTTAGTCCTGATGGTGGTGGACTGGTGTATAAACTGATTTAGTCCTGATGGTGGTGGACTGGTGTATAAACTGATTTAGTCCTGATGGTGGTGGACTGGTGTATAAACTGATTTAGTCCTGATGGTGGTGGACTGGTGTATAAACTGATTTAGTCCTGATGGTGGTGGACTGGTGTATAAACTGATTTAGTCCTGATGGTGGTGGACTGGTGTATAAACTGATTTAGTCCTGATGGTGGTGGACTGGTGTATAAACTGATTTAGTCCTGATGGTGGTGGACTGGTGTATAAACTGATTTAGTCCTGATGGTGGTGGACTGGTGTATAAACTGATTTAGTCCTGATGGTAGTGGACTGGTGTATAAACTGATTTAGTCCTGATGGTGGTGGACTGGTGTATAAACTGATTTAGTCCTGATGGTAGTGGACTGGTGTATAAACTGATTTAGTCCTGATGGTAGTGGACTGGTGTATAAACTGATTTAGTCCTGATGGTAGTGGACTGGTGTATACAATTACATATTGAATATGATCTCTCTTAGACTGGGTACCAGTCTGTTTAACCATCATCCCACTCCTTGTCATGCCAAAGAGTACAAGAACTGGCACAAAACAGGTTCTGGATTTCAGGCACAGAAATATAGTTATTTTGACCCCACCCTGACATCATCACTGACCTCATGAGCTCCTCCACCTTGTCATCGATGTCCAGCTCCTCCTCCGTGGCCTCGAACCCGAACGCCCTGGCGGCCGCCGCGCTGTTCATTGGGTAACGCGGCGGCGAGAGCTTCCCATTGGGCGTCGCCGCCAGGCTGTCCCGCCCTCCGTTCTGCACCATGGCGACCAGCGACACCGGGGAGGAGAGGACGGCAGAGGGCGGGGGCGGGCCGGGCGGTGGGGAGGTGTCGTAGCTGTTGCTAGGCGAGGGGGAGAGCCCCCCGCGTGGAGGGAGGTACTGTGTCTGTGTGGCGGTAGAGTTGGTGGAGGAAGAGGCCAGGGCGGTGTTGGTAACACTACTGCTCCCAATACCACTGGTGGCATTAGTATTATTACTACTACAGGAAGAGGATGTTGTAGAGGAGGTGGTGGCGGCAGAAACAGAGGCAGTGTTGTTGGGGGTGTTGTTTGTGGTGGTGCTATTGGGGTCGGACACAGAGCTGCTTGCTCCTCCCACGTAGGAGGTGCGACGGCCAAACTTGTCCCCGTGCTCGCGGTCAAGTCGGTCTAGGGTGTCCAGGGCGTGGAGGATCTCCTGCTTGGTCATGCCCGTACGTCGCAGCCTCTGGAGCAGGTCGATCTGCTCGATGGTGAAGCGAGGCTCATCTGTGTAATGAGACATCCTGGAGGAGAGAGGAAGGGGGAGGAAGGGATGGAGGAGGGGGGAGAGGGAGAGGAAAAGGGATAGGGGAGGGTTGGGAGGAAGAAGATCATGAGAGAGAAAGAGGAGGGAGAAGGAAAAGTAAGAGGAGAGGGGGAGTGGAGGTGTGAGAGAAAATAAAGGAGGGTGCTTCTTTTGGGACCAGCAGGCAAAACATGTAAAGTCACCTTGAAAGCAGCAGCGGATGCTAGCTTATAGTCATTCTACTGCATTGTAACCAATAATAAATGCACGTCCCCCGCTGCATGGTTTTCCATAGGCTAAACATTTTTCTGTATGGTTTTCCATAAGCATTTCACTGTGTTATAGAAATCAATAGAATCATAACCAGGTTGCGGCACATTTTCCATCTTACGAGACATTGGCTGGTAATGTATGACTATTGACCACTAGATCCATGCTCGCACTTTACATTGGATTTACATTCAGTTCTAGAACAACCATACTACAAATCAAATTTGATTGGTCACATACACGTTTATCAGATGTTATTGCGAGTGTAGCGAAATGCTTGTTTATCTAGCTCCAACAGTGCAGTAGTATCTAACAATTCACACAATCTAAAAAGTAAAATAATGTAATTAAGACATATGTAAGTATTAGGACGAGCAACGTCGGAGTGGCATAGACTAAAATACAGAAGAATAGGCTATAGCCCATTTCTAGCTTCTCAAACCTGACAAGTAAACTGCCATTTTCATAGTCTGCCACTATTTGGGCTATGCCAGGTTTAGTAAACCATCACACCTTTAAACCTGTCTGCTGCTAGCTACAGTCCTAAACAATTTAAATCATGTAGCCTGACTAACTTTTCTAATCTATTGCCCATCAACAATAGTGATATAATAGAGACAATTCTGAAAAGGTGTTGTCTTTGAACAATTTGTTACAGGGATTCTTCCCTTTCTCTTAGTTGACAGTTAGCCTAGAGCAGCGGAGGCTCAATCACTGCTATTGTATTCATTACCTACCCACCTGAGCAGGAGCTATTTACACAGTTAACTGTTAACTAGGCCGTAGGTTAGCTAGCAAAGCTGGGTTAACCAGAAGGAGCACAAAGCCAACAAAAGGTTAACTTCTAGTTAAACCACAAGACATGATATGTGTGTGTGTGTGTGTGTGTGTGTGTGTGTGTGTGAGAGAGACTGTTATAAAACTAATTTCTCCTCAGTTCTGACAAATGATGTGTATAAACCCATCATTGGTTGACACAATCCTTCAGTTGTGTCTCCTCTGACAGATGGCATGGGCCTAGCTAGCAAACACACTGGTCACTACACACGTTCCTTGGTTCCTTGTGATCTGCCCTTCTTTATGCGGTCTAGTATCTCAACTGTGGTGCTGCATGTTTGTAAGGCTCTTTAGGTCTGTAAAAATCTCTCATGGCACCACCCATACCCATCCACAAATACGTTTTTTTACAACTATATCTTCCTTTGGTTATATAGGTAATTGGTGCTTAAATTAGCTGCATATTTCCGTAGAGTTGCACATAACTGCACATCTGCGAAACGCCCAGATTCAAACACAAAATAATTCACACAGATAGCACAGGAATTCGTTTACATTAGCCATTCTACAATGCATTACCGTTAGCTACCTTGCTGGTAAACAAAGGCCGTTGGTACAAAAACTGTTACTGTTACCGTAGCTGAAAACAGAGCTAGTGCTAGATAGTCGTTGGCCTTTCTAGACCGCCCTATCGAGTAAAAATAGACTGGCATAACGACATTAGCTAGCTACGGCTTGCTAGGTTATTGGTTCGCTAACTCAAAATACTAATGCATCTGACTTTTAGCCATGCACTTCGCTAGCTCGTTAATCAGACAACGGTTTCAGTTTAATTTTATGGGGTGGTTATTTTACCAGATTGTAAAATAGCCAACTAACTGCTAATCCACCATTGAAAATAATGTATAGGCTAGCAGCTAACGTTAAAGCTTGCTAAATACATCAGATCTTACCTTACGTAGCTAGCTATCTCGATGTGCCGCTGTACACTTGACCATTAATATCGCACCACCACAAAACAGTGTGTGGCGGGGAAATGCCACTTATTAACAGGCGCAACACATCGATCAACCACCAGATTGTAGCAGGAGTGCCCGGCCCTTTTACTAGATTTCAATCACAAGCGGACTGTTTGCCTTTGTCTGACTGACAACAGCCATATTGATAGAAACACCTTGATGATAGTTACATGGGAGTTGTAGTTTAATTTGTCAGCTCTATAACGAGGAACTTTGAACATACAAACTACAAGTCCTATCGACAAATGGAGCCATCGAGTTGGAAAGAGTCCTGAGCATTATAGGTTCCTAGACATATAGAAGTGTAGTTACAGATGTAATAAAATCAAGTTTCAAAAATAATTCTGTGTCCACAACTTGGTAAAGATGTACAGTATACAGTTTATTGTAACACCATATTGATATTAAAAAGGAGATTAGTCTTCATCCCATCAAGTTCTTTAAAGCATGCATGTCTTGTTTCCATGTAGAAATAAATCAACATTCATACAGTCAGATCAGATTAAATGCACATATAAAACATTTGAAACATATAAATAATTAAAAACAAGCCCAATGTGCAATGTTTTAAACACCCTAATACATTACATAAATACCAAAATCTGCATACAAAACAGAACCCATCCATACACAGCAGTACCATTCAACAACTAATGTCCCTCCAACTATATTGAACAAAAATATAAACGCAACTTGCAACAATTTTAACAATTTTACTGAGTTACAGATCATTTAAGGAAATTAGTCAATTGAAATAAATTCCTTAGGCCCTAAAATCTATGGATTTCACATTACTGGGTAGGGGCGCAGCCATGGGTGGGCATTGTCCCATCCACTTGAGAGTCAGGCCCACCCACTCAGCATTCTTTTTTTTTTTTCCCACAAAAGGGATTTATTACAGACAGAAATACTCCTCAGTTTCATCAGCTGTCTGGCCACACCTGTCAAGTGGATGGATTATCTTGGCAAAGGAGAAATGCTCACTAATAGGGATGTAAAATTTGTGCACAAAACTTGAGAGAGAAATAAGCTTTTTGTGCATATGGATAATTTCTGGGATCTTTTACTTCAGCTCATGAAACACGGGACTAACGCTTTACATGTTGCGTTATATTTTTGTTCAGTAATACATAAAACACATACAGATTGCATTCTACCCGTCCCAAACTATCCCAAAACCTTAAAACATAACATACAAACATAAAATGATCAAATCAAGCAGTTTCAGTAAAGTTCATACATACAGAATATTTCATTTTTTAGCTAAAAACAGACAATCATAACATATTGTTCTGTCATACTGTTCTACTAACATAGGTAATAACCAGGGTTGGGGCTAATTCCAGAAAGAAAACCAAATCCCAATTCCACATTTCCTAATTTAAACGCATGGAAGAGAATTGGAATTTGTGTATTTCCTGAATTGACCGCAACCCTGGTAATAAAATATGGCACATGTTATTTGAGAACCTGAGAGACCCCCCAATCAGGACTAGTCAAAAAATACATTCAGATGATGTGAAAGAGGTTAAGTTTCCCCTTGGACAGGGGTTCTCAAACTGTTTGGGGCCTGGGACCCCTTTTGTGATAGCAAATTCAACAAGGACCCTCTCATAATCAGAAGACAACTCGAGTGTGCTAAAAACAGCCTACAAGGAGTTTTACTATGACGTCTGCAGTGCACGGCTGAACAAACCAAGTCTAGGGCCCGGAGAAATAACATTTAAAAAGGGCCGCCTCTTGGCATCGGAGAGAAAATGTTGCCGTTTTCAAGCAAATATCCTGCAATTCTACACATTTTGCCACGAGGCAGAGAGCAAACTTTGCCGTTTTAGAGCATAAATCACAATGCATTTATGTAAAAAAAATATTTAAAAAAGTAATGTGGATACCAATATCCCTGTGAGCCTCCAGCGAGCCTCCAGGATTAAGAACATAAATTGCAGATTAATAATATTACATTGTACTACACACTTTAAAATTATTCCACGGATACCTTAGCCAAAATGTGTTTAATCTTTCGTTAGTAATATTCCCCCCAAAAAAATTTCAAAAGAAAAAATACAGATATTTTGAGGCCGAGGACCCCCTGCAGTAGTCCGCGGATCCCACTTTGAGAACCCCTGCCCTAGGTCATGTGTCAAACTCATTCCAGAGTGCCAAGTGTGTGCAGGTTTTTGCTCCTCCCTCGTACTTGATCGATGAATTAAAGCTCAGACACACCGGTAGGATTGTCAAACGTTTGCCTGTACGGTCCTTAGCAGCTCTGAACAGTGCCAGCAGTCCACACAGCAAAGCCCTTCGAAGAAGTCAGCCACTCAGCCTTGTTAAAATACTCCAAGCCAGAAGGTGGCAGTAGCGTTGTTTGGCAATGCATATCTGTGTGTATTGCTTATGGTCTAGGTCACGGATCAGTAAGGAACTCCCCCCTCACCTGGTTGTCTAAGTCTTTAATTGAAAGGACAAAAACAAAAAGCAGCAGACACTTGGGCCCTCCATGGAATGAGTTTGACACCCCTACCCTAAGTACAGTTCTAGGATCTGCTTCCCCCCTCCCCTGAACATAACCTTAACCATTAGTGGGGGAAAAAGTCCAACTGACCCAAGATCAGGTGACTAGGGTTAACTAAACCCTACTCCTTGATGCAGCCAGCACCATAAACTGGGCCTCTCCTCTATCTGTCCATCTGTGGCTGAACATTTTAAAAAAACGAGCAAGAGGTGAACCTCTTATGTCTTGATATGTTGCTGTGGTTTACACCTCTACTAATTGGTTGTGGCGTTTCCTAGAGTCTAGCACCCACCAGGGATCGTGTCAATCCAGTTTCAATTCCAGCAATTCGGGAAGTAAACTGAAATTCAAATTTCAATTTTCCTCAATGCATCTCTAGTGAAGTATTGAGGGAAATTGAAATTGGAATTCCAGTTTCCTTCTTGAATTGACTGAATTGAAATGGAATTGACCCTAACCCTGCTCTCCTCTCAGCTGTTCCCGGATTTATGGTTGTCTCCTTTGCGATCGGCCCCAGCCCCCTCTCCCTTGCGACTAGCCCCAGCCCCAGCCCCCTCTCCCTTTGCCAGGGCAGTGAGGGCAGCCAGGTTAGAGCTGGACCCTGATAGGTTAGCACTGCGACGCTTCTGCTGCTGTCGCCGCTTCTGCTTAGCCCCGCCCCCGACTCCTCCACGGCTCACCCTATCAGGACGCACCAACACCCCGTAACCAGGGTTACAGTGGAAGTAGTGCTTTCCACCCACGGACCCGTCATTTTTCCCTGGATAGAGAGAGAGCCAGTGAGACATTAAACACGGGGTAACGTTAATTTACTCTAAATATAAATCACACACAAGACATAGCTAGCCGCAACAAGAACTACAGCAGAATCGTACAGTAAAAAATAAATACAAATCAGAACACATCACACAAACTCTTCTACCTACCGGCAGGTAAGTCCAGCTCCACTCCGACCCAGGTTCCGTCAGCGAAGTCCGTAGGTCCCACGTAGCACACCGTGCCACTTTTATTAGTTCCTACAGTCACATACTCCCCCTCCTTCAGCCAGTCAGGCACTGCTGTGGCTGTGTCACTGGCTCCTTCGTCTGAGTCGGAGAGGATCTCCAGAGGGACAGAGAGACCAGCACCAAGATCACTGTTCCTGGCCTGGGCCTGGCTCTCATCCTCATTTAAGACAGGATGGAAGGACTTCAGATCGGACGTCTTTACTTTCTGGATCTTGAATGGGTTGGCTGCCGAGCTACTATGAGTGGGAGGTTTGACGACTAGTGCTGGAAGAAGGGCTGGGACAGGGGTTAGGGTTAGGAGAGGGGCTTTGGCTGGGACAGGGGTTAGGGTTAGGAGAGGGGCTTTGGCTGGGAGAGGTACAGGAGCTACAGCTGTGATTGGAGCTGGAGCTAGGGTTGGGGCTGGAGCTGGGGTTGGGGCTGGAGCTAGGGTTGGGGCTGGAGCTAGGGCTATGGATGGGGCTAGGGTTGGGGCTGGAGCTGGGGTTGGGGCTGGAGCTATGGATGGGGCTGGAGCTAGGGTTGGGGCTGGAGCTAGGGTTGGAGCTGGAGCTGGGGTTGGGGCTGGAGCTAGGGTTGGGGCTGGAGCTGGGGCTGGGGCTGGAGCTAGGGTTGGGGCTGGAGCTGGGGTTGGGGCTGGAGCTGGGGCTGGGGCTGGGGCTGGGGTTGGGGCTGGAGCTAGGGTTGGGGCTGGAGCTAGGGCTATGGATGGGGCTAGGGTTGGGGCTGGAGCTGGGGTTGGGGCTGGAGCTATGGATGGGGCTGGAGCTAGGGTTGGGGCTGGAGCTAGGGTTGGAGCTGGAGCTGGGGTTGGGGCTGGAGCTGGGGTTGGGGCTGGAGCTGGGGCTGGGGCTGGAGCTAGGGTTGGGGCTGGAGCTGGGGTTGGGGCTGGAGCTGGGGCTGGGGCTGGGGCTGGGGATGGAGCTGGGGCTGGGGATGGAGCTGGAGCTGGGGCTGGAGCTAGGGTTGGGGCTAGGGTTGGGTCTTCGGCTGGCTGGCTAGGTGCAGGCTTGACAACCAGAGGCTCTACAGGGGTAAGTGCAGGTTCAGGCTGGTTTGCCGGTGCTAGTTTGTATGTTGGTGCCAGCTGGTCTAGAGGTGCTAGCTGGTCTAGAGGTGCCAGCTGGTCTAGAGGTGCCAGCTGGTGTTGTTCTTCTGGTAGCTCTGGCTCACCAGGTGATGCGGACTCAGCTGTTGTCTCACGCTGTTCCCAAGGTGACTCTGGCTCCACTGGTAGTTCTTCTAATTGGACTGGCTCTTCTATGTGGACTGGTGGTTCTTCTAACTGGACTGGTTCTTCTATGTGCACTGGTGGTTCTGACTGGTCTAATAGCACAGACAGTTTTTCTGTTGACTTGTCTGGTGAAGACATTTGTTCTTGTACAGACTTGACCGGCTGGATTGATTGTTCCGTCTGGTTTGCTACTACAGATGGTAGTAGTCTGTAGTATTCTTGTGTGAACTTGTGTGGCGTGGACTGTGTCAGTGGCTCTGGTGGAGTCATATCTTCAGGTTCTCCTGAGGATTCATAGGGTTCTGATATGAGAAGAGGTTCTGCTGAAGTTCCACGTGGTTTCAACGGGAGAGGAGATTCTGCTCCGAGTGTATCGGTATCGGTCCTGTCTACCTGGGGCGTACTAGTATCAGTGCTCTGCGTCTCTGAAGCCTCCAGGTCAGTAGCAGCGGCCTGCGGTATCTGAGGAGACTCTTCCTCCTGACCGGCCATGTTAGACTCCCGATGAAGATACCGACCGATGTCGGCCTCGAACGACCTGTGCGTCGCCTCAAAGCCGTCTGGCCTGAGATTGGCTGACAGAGTGAGGTCACCACAAATCAGGTAGGCCTCTGACAGGGTTGCTGTGGAGACGCTGGTGGACATGTAGCCACTGGATGCCTCGCTGACCGGACTGGCGGCGGGGTCTTCTATCTCAGGGATGGTGGGCTGGATGATAGGCGGGGGGAGGGGCATGGTTTTCAGGGCCTCTGATTGGCTCTCTGGGGGGATGATTTCCCCAATGGGAACCTGTGGAATTAACCAATGGCGACACAAACATTAAACTAGTAATGAATGGTGATGAGCATATTACCGTGCTTCTCAATACTTACTAGGGACAGACGATCAAGTAACTTACCAAGTGACGACTAAGTTTAGTATCCAAGTCCTCTTCAACGCTTGCTGACTGCACTACGATTCGAGGTAGGCTCTGAGGGAGAGGCTAAAGATGAGAACACCTGTTAAAAGTTTGGTCTGAGATGTTTCACAGAGTATATGACAGCTAAATCAATCACAGATGTCATTACAGAAAACAGGGCCCAAGCTCTCTTCCAGCCTCTGATCTCGGGACAGTATACAGATTCATGTCCCTTTTCTATTAAAATCACCCTCCATTCTAAACGTAGTTTCTGACCTGCTCAAAACCCAGGGAATTAAATAAAGCATTATAAAGCCCATTTCACAGCTAAACATTTCAAACCTCTATCTCCTCAGATAAGTGGTGAGGGGGGGGGGGGGGGGTTTAGCAACAGACATGGGTTCAGGTGAGAAAAGACACAAAGCAGGTCAGCTGCAACAGCAGAATCAGACTTCCAGCTGAATTCTGGAATCACGGTCAGAAATGAGAGGTGATTGGTTTTCTGATGTTTTGCTTGGAAGATGCTATTTTTAGGAGCAGGAGAATAACCTACTGAAGCCATAGGCAGCAGGTCAAACAGAACTACCCTGTCATCCTCTGGCTCAGCAGATAACACCTGAAACACAACCGCTGTCACTCCACCACACCTTCACACTGCTGGAGAATACTCCCATACAGAGACCATCAGAGGTACTGTATATTATACCCTAGTACAACAATAGATGGCCGCTTCTATCACATAGAGCAGGTTACTAAATGTGTGAGATAACGTGAATGTAGATTATATATAGTGTTTAAGGGCAGCATGTGTTTTTAGTTGCTCTGAATGAAGCATATGCTATAGATAAGAACTGACCACAAAGCAGTTGTTACTGTTAAAGGGTAGAAAACATGTTCAGCAGTAGAGTAAATACTTGCTGGCAGATAGGGGTCTGGTCTATGAACTGACCAGAGATCAGTAGTGTTATTAGTTTAGTACATTACCTGCTGTGGGACATGGGTCAGGTCTCTCTTCTCCTCCCTGGTGGGGAACAGGGACTTGAGCAGTTTGGGGACAGGAGGAACCAGAGCCTTGACTGGGGAGAAATAAGAGGCAGCACGAGCATGCCGTGAGAGACCTGGAGAGGGTAAGAGGAGGAAAGAGGAGGGAGGCGAGGAAGAGGAAGAGGAGGAGGAGGAAGGGGGTACGGGGAGGGAGGACGAGGACGAGGAAGGGGGTACGGGGAGGGAGGAGGAAGAAGAGGGTACGGGGAGGGAGGAGGAGGAGGACAAAGGGGGTACAGGGAGGAGGAGGACGACGAGGAAGGGGGGTACGGGGAGGGAGGAGAAAGAAGAGGGTACGGGGAGGGAAAAGGAGAAGGAAAAGGGGGGTACGGGGAGGGAGGAGGAGGACGAGGAAGGGGGTACGGGGAGGGAGGAGGAAGGACGAGGGTACGGGGAGGGAGGAGGAAGATGAGGTGGAGGAAGGGGGTACGGGGAGGGAGGAGGAAGAAGGAGGACGAGGACGAGGAGGAGGAGAAAGGGGGTACGGGGAGGGAGGAGGAAGAGGAGGAAGGGGGGTACGGGGAGGGAGGGAGGAGGACGAGGAGGAGGAGGAGGAAGGGGGTACGGGGAGGGAGGAGGAGGAAGAGGAAGGGAGTACGGGGAGGGAGGAGGAGGAAGAAGAAGGGGGTACGGGGAGGGAGGAGGAGGAAGAGGAGGAGGAGTAGGAAAAAGAGGAGGAAGGGGGTACGGGGAGGGAGGAGGAGGAAGAGGAGGAGGAGTAGGAAAAAGAGGAGGAAGGGGGTACGGGGGAGGGAGGAGGAGGAGGAAAATTAAAAGAAGGAGAAAGGAAAGACGAAGAAATAAGTTAGTGAGGAAACAGAGGACAGATCTAATAGGATAAACCAACAGATGAAACCACAGTAACAGAGGACAGATCTAATAGGATACACCAACAGATGAAACCACAGTAACAGAGGACAGATCTAATTGGATAAACCAATAGATGAAACCACAGTAACAGAGGACAGATCTAATAGGAATACCAGCACTAGTGACAGTTATAAATGAGGAAAAGGTTAGCGATAGCGATCATCGGCCCTGACGTAACAGAGGCATTGTTTGTTGTTCTCACCAGTCTCAGGGTGGATGTTCTGGGCCAGAGGCAGGGCAGAGCTAGGGAGGGTGCGTCTGGAGTTGGACGGTGGAGAGAACACTGACAGGTCCTGGTGACTCTCTGACCAGCCCTGAGGAGACGAGAAGCAGACATTATCTACATATATTGTTAGATATTGTTACTGTATTGTTGTTATAAAAGGTATTGTCATTGTTCAAACTGTTTATCTTATGTTGCAATTCTGCTTCATAGTCAGTTGAAACTATAGGTGAAACTAGAGGCTGAAAAATATGGGCTGTGTGCACGGGGGACGTCTATTTGTATTTCAAACTGAAAATATAGCTGCGAGCAGCAATGAACGGGGTTCACAAGATGACAAAAAGGACAAGATCATTTGGATAACAAAACAAGCACTATCATGTTGGAACTATTTCACATTGTTCATCTGCATAACCTAACATTCATTTGCATGAGACAAAGTCCACTTGATCAATAGTTATTGCTCTATGACATCTATAGTGCCACCCACTGGCCTGGTACAGCCATCTAAGGTTGCAGAGACTTTATATTTACACAGCTTCTAAGGACATATACATATGGTTTACATGTCTCCTGAGTGGCGCAGTGGTCTAAGGCACTGCATCGCAGTGCTAACTGTGCCACTAGAGATCCTGGTTCGAATCCAGGCTCTGTCGCAGCCGGCCGCGACCGGGAGACTCATGGGCGGCGCACAATTGGCCCAGGGAATGGCCGGCAGGGATGTAGCTCAGTTGATAGAGCATGGTGTTTGCAACGCCAGGGTTGTGGGTTCGATTCCCACGGGGGGCCAGTATAAAAAAAATATGTATTCACTAACTGTAAGTCGCTCTGGATAAGAGCGTCTGCTAAATGACTAAAATGTAAATGTATACCAAATTACATGGCCCCATGTCCATCAGTTCAGTTCTTATAGCTCTGGTGTGATATGGTGCCATCTAGTGGTGTAGTGTGGCCAACTTTGAATGCAGCAACTAATAATTCTCAAATTCATTAGAGGCTAATTCATTGAGTCTATATACTAAATCTGGAGTCAATCTGATTTACGATTCATGAGGAGATTAAAAAAAAAAAGTATATTTGCATTAGCATACGTGCTAACGTGCATCTATAGCTACAGTGCGACCATATTTGAACGCAGCAACACCTTTTTTCTCAAAACCATTAACGACTAATGTCTAAATCCAAAATCTGGAGTGAATCTGACGTATGGTTCATGAGGAGAAGATGATTGCAGACGATGTTGAGCATTAGCATTACATATGCATAGCATGAGTTGTTAATAGCTTCCTTGTTTCTTTAGATATCAATACCAAATTCAGTGTGGTTCATCTTAAGGATATCCATGATAGCGATGACACGTTTCAAGTTAATAGGCCACTGTGGTTTAAATGGACTCATAAAATCATATTTCCTGATTTATCAATAACTCAGCCATCTTTTGACCAAATCCCTTAGCTCTTCTCCAACTAAGTTAAGACAAGTACCAGGGGCCTACATTCCATTTGGTATCATTTGGTCTTATGGTTCATGTATTTTTTTTTAGCACATTAGTGTATGTGCTAGCGTGCATCTACTGGTATAGTGTGGCCATCTTTGAATCAGCATTATTTTTTCTCAAACTCTTTAGGGACTATTGTGATGAGCAGGGGTGTAAGTAGATTGAATTTCTTCCCGATACCGGACCTCCTGTGTGCACCCGCGCGCAACCCGAAAAATGTATGGGCGGCAGAATGGCCCCGTTTTATTATTATCTGGATACTTTTTATGTATTTATTTCAAAATATAAAGCTAAACGACAGGTATCCTTTTTGCCCTTTTCTTAAACAAAGGCCTGCCCTCACTTAATCTGAGAGTGTCTGGTTTTAACCAAACACACCAAGCCCTTCCAGGACACGGAGGTGTTTAACCATGCACTGCATGGTGACAGTACTGGAGGATTTTGCTATGCCGACACATCTATGGATATAATAATTAATTAATGAATAATGCATAATTGCATCTGTCAAACAGGTAGGCCTGCCTCTTATTTATTTTTGTTTGAATAGGTAGAAATAGTCTCCAACAAAGCCCCATTGTTGTTAGTGAAGTCCAATTAAAATGAAGACAATTGTTGAAATGAATAACTTTCAGCACCATTTGCCGTCCGCCTCTGTTTGATTATGCCTCAGCCGCTCCAAAAGCTGATGTCTGCCCGCTTGCCTTTTTAGTTGACTTTGTCCTGCACTCTCTCTCTCCTCATTAATAAGTAATGATTTTAAAAAAGTGTCCGTCTCAGGGTGCTTCTACATCTGCATTGCTTGCTGCTGTTTGGGGTTTGAGGCTGGGTTTTCTGTACAGCACTTAGTGACGTCTGCTGATGTATAAAGGGATTTAAAAATAACATTTGGGCTCCAGTCACGGGGCTACAGAAAAAACACATAGGCTACTACTTTTTCTACTGTAGGCTACATAGGCCTAATTTATGTTAAATTAATTTGATGGAGCGTCGGTGGAGCGCCGCAGGCGCTGCGTTTCTCCAACAGCACCCTGGGGAGGAGCGCCGGGCATGGACAAGATCAATATTTTGCGCCCCTGTCAAAGTGGGCGCTGCTTATCATGGGGTGGCATCAGCGCTCACCTGAATAGCCCTCATGCCACTGAGTGAGAGAAGTTTATCTTTGTTTTGGGGCAGAATAATGTGAGGTGTTATGTCGTTGTCGGAGGTGCGTCTTGGTTAGTTTAGCTCGAAAAATGCCGCCCTCGTCAAACTGCTGCTCCAGACGGCTACCCAATCATAGATTTATATTTAGAACCGTATTAATTCAATAGCATCTACTGTATGTGGGCCGTGTCATAAAGATTTGTCATTTAACCTATAAAATGTATGACCTTTTATTGTGGCATCAACACCACCAGTCATGATGTTTTCATCTGATTGTCAAACGATCACTTCAAAAGGGATCCTTTACTAGGCTACCTGCGTACGTTCATCCACTAGAAACATATTTCCAGCCTCTAAATATTGGTGAATGGAAAAAGACATCCCGTTACACAAAACACCAAAAAGTGTAACGTCTTTGGCGACAGATTTAAATGGCTTCAATGGCTCCATTGCTGTCTGTGCGAGTCTCGGTTTTTAGCCACTTCAACTCTGCCTTGGCAAAAATTCTGTGTCCTCCTCGAACAACATGGCATTTTGGAGCGTAGGCTATAAACACCAGTTTTCTAAGTCCACTAATTTGTCTGACATGTGGTAATGATAAATAATGGTGTAATAGCCTACTGTTTTCTTGACATTTTGTTTTCATTGTTGTGATAGGCTCATGTTTTACCGGTACAGCGTTACCCCCACTATTTATTTTGCCGGACCGCCGTATTTCACCCCTGGTGACGAGTCCAAAGACCAAATTTGGAGTGAATCTGACTTTCAGTCCATGAGAAGATTTTTTATGATTATTTTTTTGCGTTATATAGAAGTGAATTGTTAATAGTTTCCTTTTTTCCTTTTTTATTTATTTTTATTTCTCACCCTATTTTATAAGATATCAATGCCAAACTTAACATGGTTCATCACGGTAATGTCTTTGATGACCCTAAAAAGGTTCAAGTTGATAGGCCATTGTGAAGTGGATTTTAAAAATAATTTAAAATGGATCCTGATATAATCAATAACTCAGCCATCTCTTGGACTCAAAAGTTTTCCAAAATTTCCAAGATGGAGGAAAATCTATCCCGACGGACCTTATTGGTCCTTTGTTCAGCATGAGGTAAGACACCTACATACAATGTTTCAAGTCTCTAGGTCAAATGGGGCGACGGATATGAGGGTTTAAATGAGGCTGCATATAACACCGCCACCTATAGGCCAATCGGTAGCATTATTTGAGACATTTTACATTGACATTTTAGTCATTTAGCAGACGCTCTTATCCAGAGCGACTTAAAGTTAGTGAGTGCATACATTATTTTTATTTTATATACTGGCCCCCTGTGGGATTCGAACCCACAACCCTGGCGTTGCAAACGCCATGCTCTACCAGCTGAGCTACATGCTCTACCCTCCCCTACCCTGGACAACACTGGACCACTGCGCCACTTGTAGACCAAGTTATTCATGGCCATATAGTTTCTGTGTCAAATTAGGAAAAAAAAAAAGTTACCAATCTATGCTTGAGTTAATTGACCATGTCAAGAAAAAGTATAAAAATGATAGAGAATAACTATAGCTTATTATATAGGTAAGTCATAGAGAACAATAAGGAACTTGGTTAAAGTCTCACCTTGTTGTCATTTAGCCTGTGATTGGAGGACAGATCCTGTCTGCTCCAGGATCCTGACAGCTAAAATAGGTTGTTGAAACCAGAGTGAGATCAGCATGGAACATGTTACTAGGACGGGTTGTTGTAGTGTTAATGGTTAACTAACTAATGAGTTAGTAGTTAAAATCAGTTACAGGGAGGATGTTATGGCTTTGAGTAAATCAGTGAAGGATAGGTGGACCATGTAGCTTCTTACCCGGTTCACGTTAGGAGAGCTGAGAGACTTGGACTTGACAGACAACTGCTCCTTCACTGCTACTTCCTACACACACACACACACACACGCACACACACACAGGGTTTATGTTATGTAAGAGTTGAAGATATGTATTATTGTGTGTGTGTGTGTGTGTGTGTGTGTGTGTGTGTGTGTGTGTGTGTGTGTGGTGTGCGCGCGCGTGCGTGCGTGCGTGCGTGCGGACCTGTCGTAATCGGTCCAGGGTGAGTATATTCTCCACAGACAGGACGCTGCGGAGGTACTTCTCTATGGCAGCCTCACTGTCAGCTGACTGGCCATCCTGAACATCCACACTGGCTGCTAGTCTGGCCAGCATCTCTCTGTCCTCTGGACCCTGGATATCCTGAAGGAGGAGCGGAGAGGATCAGAGACTTAGATCAGTGTTGTAAAGAGAGAGATCGGCAAGCTGTGATCTTTCACGTGTCAAAGCGACCTGCAAACTACAGGTCCTTCTTTCTTGGAGGACCCCTTTCAGTGAAACTAGCACTTAAGAAATTAGTGTCAGCTAACTATCAGAGGGATTGTCAGCAACATCAGGCACCGGTTCATTTACATTTAACATTTTAGTCATTTAGCAGACGCTCTTATCCAGAGCGACTTACAGTTTTTTAGTGAGTGCATACATTTTCATACTGCCCCCCCCCCCCCCCCCGTGGGAATCGAACCCACAACCCTGGCGTTGCAAAACGCCATGCTCTACCAACTGGGCTACACGGGAAGTTGAAAACCACTGCCACAGGTAATGCATACAGAGCGTGGCAAACTGAGATAGAATAGTTTATGGGTGCGGTGTTGGCACCGACAGTTCCCCGCTAAAAGCCACTCTCACCCCGGGTATGTTGGAGACGACGTCAAAGGTGACTCCACAGCCAGGGATGGTGCTGCGATGAGACATCCTCTTCAGCAGACTCTGACCCCAACCCTGATACATCACCATGATATTAAAACATCAGACAACAAGACAATGTAGTTTTACATCATACAAAATCATTGTTATAGGCTGGATACTAATAATTACATGCGGAAATTAATAAAGATTTGTTTTTAAACATGTACACCTGTATTATGCAAGATACTGAGCAGGTTTCTGACCTGTAGTCCGGTGTGTGTGTGTGTGTGTGTGTGTGTCTGACGTCTGGTTTGTGTGTGTGTGTGTGTGTGTGTGTGTGTGTGTGTGTGTGTGTGTGTGTGTGTGTGTGTGTGTGTGTGTGTGTGTGTGTGTGTGTGGTGTCTCTCTCTCCCTCCTACCTGTTGTCCGGCTAGGACGACACAGATGCGTTTTCTGAGGACCAGCTGCATGTTGGCAGGGTGAGAGAGCTGAACTATGACCCTGACAGTCAGGTACACCCTGAGGTCAGCTGCCACACTGCGACTCAGCTGGGGACAGTCATGTACCGTAGAGTCCCACGACGCCTCCGCACCAACCTGGGAGGGAAGAGAAGGGATATAAAAAGTGTGCACTTGGTTTGCTGGAACAAGCCGTGGTGCCTTGGACAGCAGCGGTTCTCAAAACATCGTCCTGTGACCCATCACAATAATCATAACAACCAGCATTTTTATTTAACCTTTATTTAACCAGCTTAGTCTCGCTGAGATAAACATCTATTTTTCAAGAGAGATCTGGACCAAGAAAGCAGCATCAACAGGTCCGTTTCAGACAGACAGTCACATGACATCCACCAGGCAGACAGTCACATGACATCCACCGGACAGACAGTCACATGACATCCACCAGGCAGACAGTCACATGACATCCACCGGACAGACAGTCACATGACATCCACCAGACAGACAGTCACATGACATCCACCGGACAGACAGTCACATGACATCCACCAGACAGACAGTCACATGACATCCACCAGACAGACAGTCACATGACATCCACCGGACAGACAGTCACATGACATCCTCCAGACAGACATCCACCAGACAGACAGTCACATGACATCCACCAGACAGACAGTCACATGACATCCACCGGACAGACAGTCACATGACATCCACCGGACAGACAGTCACATGACATCCACCAGACAGACAGTCACATGACATCCACCAGACAGACAGTCACATGACATCCACCGGACAGACAGTCACATGACATCCTCCAGACAGACATCCACCAGACAGACAGTCACATGACATCCACCAGACAGACAGTCACATGACATCCACCGGACAGACAGTCACATGACATCAACCAGACATCCACCAGACAGACAGTCACATGACATCCACCAGACAGACAGTCACATGACATCCACCAGACAGACAGTCACATGACATCCACCAGACAGACAGTCACATGACATCCACCAGACAGACAGTCACATGACATCCACCAGATGAAGATAGATCAATATAAAAGCAGCATGTCAGCAAACAACATGTACACCACAAAAGTCTGAAAAAACAGAGTACACTACGTCAAAAGGCCCTTACAGGATCAAGATTAGGGCTGGGAATCGCCATCAATTTGACCATGAAGGCCTGATTCACACAGTCTCCTCTGAACAGTTGATGTTGAGATGTGTCTGTTATTTGAACTCTGTGAAGCATTTATTTGGGCTGCAATTTCTGAGGCTGGTAACTCTAATGAACTTATCCTCTGCAGCAGAGGTATGACAAGCCTAATACTGTGTTGGGGGTAGGGGGTATGACAAGCCTAATACTGTGTTGGGGGTAGGGGGTATGACAAGCCTAATACTGTGTTGGGGGTAGGGGGTATGACAAGCCTAATACTGTGTTGGGGGGTAGGGGGTATGACAAGCCTAATACTGTGTTGGGGGTAGGGGGTATGACAAGCCTAATACTGTGTTGGGGGTAGGGGGTATGACAAGCCTAATACTGTGTTGGGGGTAGGGGGTATGACAAGCCTAATACTGTGTTGGGGGTAGGGGGTATGACAAGCCTAATACTGTGTTGGGGGTAGGGGGTATGACAAGCCTAATACTGTGTTGGGGGTAGGGGGTATGACAAGCCTAATACTGTGTTGGGGGTAGGGGGTATGACAAGCCTAATACTGTGTTGGGGGTAGGGGGTATGACAAGCCTAATACTGTGTTGGTGTGTTGGTCTCTCCATGGTCCTCACCTCTTCATCGTAGTGCTTGACTATGTGCAGGTCAAAGAACGCATCCTCATCCTCCTGGTTAAGCATGGCATCTAGACCCCCAGCCAGTGTAGCAGATAGGTTATCTGGAAATCAATCAGCTGGAAGGGGGGGGGAGGGAGGGAGGGAGGAGAGTGAAGGAGAGGAGAGGGGGGGAGAGAGAGAAGGGGGGAGGGAGAGAAGGAGGAAAGGAGAGAGAGAGGAGAGAGATGAGAGAGAGAGAGGAGGGGAGGAGGGAAGGGGAGAGGGAGAGAGTGAGATAGAGGAGAGAGAGGAGGAGAAAGAGGGGGGGGGAGGGAGGGAAGGAGAGAGAGAGAGAGGGGAGGGAAGGAGGGAAGGAGAGAGAGAGAGAGGGGGAGGGAGGGAGGGAGAGAGAGAGAGGGGAGGGAGGGAGGAGAGAGAGAGAGGGGGGAGGGGGGGAGGGAGGGAGGGAGGGAGGGAGGGAGAGAGTGATGAGATAGAGGTTACGTGAGTTCAGAGTCAAAAATATTATTTCTATCAGTGACAAAGATGAAGGGAAGAGAAAAGGGAAGAACAGAACACATCAGTGATGTTGGTGAAGACAGGGGAGGACAGAACAGAACGTACCACTGAGGTCCAGGAAGAGAACAGGAATGTGCGCCTCCATCCCAGGAACAGGAACTCTGTGGGGAAATAGGCCAATCAGAACACAAAGCACACAGCTCGCTAGCGGGGCGGGCAGGTTTAGGGTCATGAAATACTGTGGCGGGCGGGTTGAATGAAGACAAAACAATACAGAAAAATGCATACATGTATAATTATTGTGCGAGTCATACCTATAGGCTAGCTACACTGAGGTTCTTTCATTATTTTTTTATCTGGCGTTATTGCGCAAGCCTAAGATTTCGTGCCTAACTGTACGCGTGTCAAATACACGCCAACTGCCAAATGCTTGATCCACTGAGGCAAAAAGGACAATGTCAGAGTTTTATTCAATAAGAGAAAAGCTGGAGTGTTGAAAATAAATAGAAGGGAGGATCAGAACAGTAGTCTAATGTTATAGAAGGGAGGATCAGAACAGTAGTCTAATGTTATAGAAGGGAGGGTCAGAACAGTAGTCTAATGTTATAGAAGGGAGGGTCAGAACAGTAGTCTAATGTTATAGAAGGGGGGATCAGAACAGTAGTCTAATGTTATAGAAGGGAGGGTCAGAACAGTCTAAAGTTATAGAAGGGAGGGTCAGAACAGTAGTCTAATGTTATAGAAGGGAGGGCCAGAACAGTAGTCTAATGTTATAGAAGGGAGGGTCAGAACAGTAGTCTAATGTTATAGAAGGGAGGGTCAGAACAGTAGTCTAATGTTATAGAAGGGAGGGTCAGAACAGTAGTCTAATGTTATAGAAGGGAGGGTCAGAACAGTAATCTAATGTTATATAAGGGAGGGCCAGAACAGTAGTCTAATGTTATAGAAGGGAGGTCAGAACAGTAGTCTAATGTTATAGAAGGGAGGGTCAGAACAGTAGTCTAATGTTATAGAAGGGAGGGTCAGAACAGTAGTCTAATGTATAGAAGGGAGGGGTCAGAACAGTAGTCTAATGTTATAGAAGGGAGGGTCAGAACAGTAGTCTAATGTTATAGAAGGGAGGGTCAGAACAGTAGTCTAATGTTATAGAAGGGGGAGGGTCAGTAACAGTAGTCTAATGTTATAGAAGGGAAGGTCAGAACAGTAATCTAATGTTATATAAGGGAGGGTCAGAACAGTAGTCTAATGTTATAGAAGGGAGGGTCAGAACAGTAATCTAATGTTATATAAGGGAGGGTCAGAACAGTAGTCTAATGTTATAGAAGGGAGGGTCAGAACAGTAGTCTAATGTTATAGAAGGGAGGGTCAGAACAGTAGTCTAATGTTATAGAAGGGAAGGTCAGAACAGTAATCTAATGTTATATAAGGGAGGGTCAGAACAGTAATCTAATGTTATAGAAGGGAGGGTCAGAACAATAGTCTAATGTTATAGAAGGGAGGGTCAGAACAGTAGTCTAATGTTATAGAAGGGAAGGTCAGAACAGTAATCTAATGTTATATAAGGGAGGGTCAGAACAGTAGTCTAATGTTATATAAGGGAGGGTCAGAGCAGTAGTCTAATGCTATATAAGGGAGGGTCAGAACAGTAGTCTAATGTTATAGAAGGGAGGGTTAGAACAGTAGTCTAATGCTATATAAGGGAAGGTCAGAACAGTAGTCTAATGTTATAGAAGGGAGGGCCAGAACAGTAGTCTAATGTTATAGAAGGGAGGGTCAGAACAGTAGTCTAATGTTATAGAAGGGAGGGTCAGAACAGTAGTCTAATGTTATAGAAGGGAGGGCCAGAACAGTAGTCTAATGTTATAGAAGGGAGGGTCAGAACAGTAGTCTAATGTTATAGAAGGGAGGGTCAGAACAGTAGTCTAATGTTATAGAAGGGAGGGTCAGAACAGTAATCTAATGTTATATAAGGGAGGGTCAGAACAGTAGCCTGATGTTTGGGAAAGATGTTATGTGTGATGATTGTGAAGCCCTTTACAAATGTGTCAGTCACAAGACAGGAACTCCAACTATGGCATGTCAAGGGAACTGCACTGTTCAGATGGGTTAAATGGAATAGTAACTGAAATCTGGACACTGACTGTAGGTCTATAACCTCTCACATAGCCTAATACAATATGAACTCCTGCAGAAATAAGCATTTATTGCATTAAAATGATACACCAAATATACGTTTTGACTCGGCAACCGGAGTGGAGAAATGTGACTTCTTTCTTTAAGCATCTCGAGAGAATGAATGTGCAGTTAGGGACCGTGTGTAAAGGTGCCAACTTTATCAGCATCATAAAGGCTGATACTATTTCAACCACATAAAATAGGCCTCCAAGCTGAACTGAAATCTTATCAGAAACATGTTGGATATTTTTCACAGCTTTTTAATTTCCTTAAAATTGTCAAACTGATGTCATTTGGATATTTCGCAACCAAAAATCGTTATTTTTATTTTTTTGTTTTTGCATTTTCTCCCCGGTACCTAAACATCTTTGCTGCGCGAGAGAAGCAGAGATGAAAGATACAACTTTACTGATGTCAACTAGATTGAAGCATTCATTTTATCAATTTTAATGACATTATTCTGGTGAGGAAGGGTTTATTTAGTCTTCTGGGACAACATATAATGATAGAAGAGAAGCTGTATGTAGGTCTATCAAATTAAATCAAATGCTATTTGTCACATGCTTCGTAAACAACAGGAGTAGACTAACTAGCTTACTTACTGGTCATTTTCCAACAATGCAGAGTTAAAGATACAAAAAAATTAACATTTAAAAAAATAGTGACACTAGGAATAAATACAGAGTGAATAATGAATAACAATAACGAGTAAAAAATAATATTTCTATATACAGGAAGTACCAGTACCGAGTTGATGTGCAGAGGTATGAAAATGAAGAATGGATAAGAGCATCTGCTAAAAGACCAAAAATGTTTTAAAAAATAATAATTGAGGTAGCCTTCAAAAATTATTCACACCCCTTTACTTTTTCCACATTTTGCTGTGTTACAAAGTGGGATTAAAAATGGTTTTAATGTCAAAGTGGAAGAAAACAGTAAAAAATAATTGTAAAACAATTATGAAAAATAAATCACTAATATACCTTGATTAGATAAGTATTCAACCCCCTGAGTCAATACATGTTAGAGTCACCTTTGGCAGCGATTACACCTGTGAGTCTTTCTGGATAAGTCTCTAAGAGCTTTCCAAATTTTTTTCAAAATTCTTCAAGCTCTGTCAAATTGGATGTTGATCATTGCTAGACAACCATTTTCAGGTCTTGCCATAGATTTTCAAGCAGATTTAAGTCAAAACTGTAATTTGGCCACTCAGGAACATTCACTATCTTCTTGGTAAGCAACTCCAGTGTAGATTTTTAGGTTATTGTCCTGCTGAAAGGTGAATTCATCAATTGGTGCCCTTCTTTACGAGGCATTGGAAAACCTACCTGCTCTTTATTGTTGAATCTGTGTTTGAGATGGTTGTCCTTCTGCAAGTTTCTCCCATCTCCACAGAGGAACTCGGGAGCTCTGTCAGAGTGACCATCGGGTTCTTGGTCACCTCCCTGACCAAGGCCCTTCTTCCCCAATTGCTCAGTTTGGCCGGGCGGCCAGCTCTAGGAAGTGTCTTGGTGGTTCCAAACTTCTTCCATTTTAGAATGATGGAGGCCACCGATTTCTTGGGGACCTTCAAGCTGCAGACATTTTTTAGTACCCTTCCCAGATCTGGCCTCGACACCAATCCTGTCCGGAGCCTCTACGACAATTCTTCGACTGATGGTTTGGTTTTTTGCTCTGAAATGCACGTCAACTGTGGACTATATAACAGTGTTGGCCTTTCCAAATCTGTCCAATAAATATAATATAATAATAATATAATAATAATAATAATATAAAAATTGCCATTTAGCGGGACGCTTTATCCAAAGCGACTTACAGTCATGCTGATACATTTTTTTTGTATGGGTGGTCCCGGGGATCGACCCACTACCTTGGGTTACATGCCTTCCAATCATGTCCAATCAATCATGTCCGATTACCACAGGTGGACTCCAATACAGTTGTAGAAACATCAAGGATGATCAATGGAAACAGGATGCACCTGAGCTCAATTTCGAGTCACATAGCAAAGGGTCTGAATACTTATGTAAATAAGTCATCGGCATTTAATTTTTAATACATTTGCAAAAATGTCTAAAAACCTGTTTTCACTTTGTCATTATGGGGTATTGTGTGTAGATTGATGAGGGGGAAAAAAACAATTTAGTTCATTTTAGAATAAGGCTGTAACGTAACAAAATGTGGAAAAAGGGAACGGGTCTGAATACTTTCCGATTGCACTAAATAATATATGTCTGAAATTAGTTTTGATATCGAATGGACCATTATCATCTGTCAGAACTTGGGCAGGGGAAACAAATACAATGTCATCTATGTACTTACTGTAAATAGCGAATGGAGGACACTTTTCCAGCGGTTCATTTTCATGCCAGCCAGGTCGGCTATGCTAATGTTGTAAAGCAAAGCAATGTGCTTAATATTAGGAAAGTTCATAAATAAATATAGTAGGCCTAGCCTATAGAAAGCTGATAGAATCCTCCTCTTTTTAATAGAGGCCATCAAAACTGTGTTTTTTCACGCAATTGCATAGCCTATAGAAATGTTGCGCAACATGAGCTCATGGGCTCTCATGAAGTGTTTGATTAGATTTTCGATCGCATTTGCATTGATGTCAGAGTGATTAGAGGGACAATAGAGCGATGAGTACCAGGCAGTTAGAAACTGGCAGTTAGCAAGTCTGGTATCAGATGACCATCAGTAGCATCAGAGTGCAGTTTTGGAGAAGCCTAGTTACCTAAACGGTCACATGAAATCTTCCTGCGGTCCTGACTCGTGACCGCCGGTGTGGCGGTAATATGTTCACCATAACAGCCCTAACTGGGCCGTTCGCACCACCCTCTGTAGCGCCTCGCGGCGGTGCCTTAGCAGTTGCCGTACCAGGCGGTGACGCAGTCAGTCAAGATGCTCTCAACGGTGCAGTTGTATAACTTTTTGAGGATCTGAGGACCCATGCCAAAACCTTTTCAGCCTCCTGACGGGGAAGAGGCGCTGTCGTGCCCTCTTCATGACTGTGTTGGTGTGTGTGGACCATGTTCATTCCTTAGTGATGTGGACACCGAGGAACTTGAAGCTCTCAAACCGCTCCACTACAGCCCCATCGATGTGGATGGGGGCGTGCTCGCCCCTCCATTTCCTGCCGTCCACGATCAGCTCTTTTGTCTTGCTGACATTGAAGGGAGAGGTTGTTGTCCTGCCTCATCATCGTCAGTGATCAGTCCTACCACCGTTGTATCGTCAGCCAACTTAATGATGGTGTTGGAGTCGTGCGCGGCCACGCAGTCGTGGGTGAACAGGGAGTACAGGAGGGGACTAAGCACGCACCCCTGAGGGGACCCGGTGTTGATGGTCAGCGTGGCAGATGTGTTGTTACCTACCCTCACCGCCTGGGGGCAGCCCATCAGGAAGTCCAGGATCCAGTTGCAGAGGGTGGTGTTCAGTCCCAGGGTCCCTAGCTTGGTGATGAGCTTGGAGGGGACAACGGTTTTGAATGCTAAGTTGTAGTCAATGAACAGCATCCTTACATAGGTAATCATTTTGTCCAGGTGGGTGAGGGCAGTGTGGAGTGCAGTAGAGATTGCGTCATCTGTGGATCTGTTGGGGGCGGTATACGAATTGGAGTGGGTCCAGGGTGTCTGGGATGATGGCGTTGATGTGAGCCATGACCAGCCTTTCAAAGCAGTTCATGGCTACAGACGTGAGTGCTACGAGTCGGTAGTCATTTAGGCAGGTTACCTTGGCGTTCTTGGGCACAAGGGACTATGGTGGTCTGCTTAAAACAAGTTGGTATTACAGATCAGGTCAGGGACAGGTTGAAAATCTAATGATAGACAAGTTGACTAACAAATACCTACCAAATTGTCAGACATTATAAGCAGAAACCTCGGCCTATCTAAATTAGGCTGGAAAAAAAAGAACGTCTCCTGCAAACCCCGTCAAAAATTGTTATGGCATCTCTAACTTTAGGCTACCGCGCATTTTCTATATTAGCGGGTTAGGGTCAGGTACGGGTGTCAGATTTTCACATATAGTCGTGCGGTTGCAGATGGGTTATTAGCAATTACAGGCATGTGAGCAAACAGCTGATCCGCGCATCACTAACGCACGCATGAATGTACACACACACACACACACACACACACACACACACACACACACACACACGTCAAACACACTAACCTACCTCTCAGCGGGAGCTCCAGGGATGCCGCTACCAGCTGAAGGTACCAGGACGGCGTTACGTTCCTCTGTCAGGGTCAGACGACACTCCAACAGTTGGGCCTCCCTCTCCACGTCATCCTCTGACTTATCTACACACACACAATACTATTGTAGTTGTAGAACACTCATTATTACTACGATTTTGGGTCAAATACCAAGTCGGTTAATGTGTGTCGTGGAGGAGTCATGAAAATATGCCTCTGTGTGTAATTAATGTGTGTCGTGGAGGAGTCATGAATATGCCTGTGTAGTAATGTATGTGTGTCGTGGAGGAGTCTGATATCTCTGTGTTAACGTATGTGTGTCGTGGAAAGGTCATGAATATGCTCTGTGTGTAATGTAATGTGTGTCGTGGAGGGGTCATGAATATGCTCTGTGTGTAATGTAATGTGTGTCGTGGAGGAGGTCATGAATATGCTCTGTGTGTAATGTAATGTGTGTCGTGGAGGCGGTCATGAATATGCTCTGTGTGTAATGTGTGTCGTGGAGGAGGTCATGAATATGCTCTGTGTGTAATGTAATGTGTGTCGTGGAGGAGGTCATGAATATGCTCTGTGTGTAATGTAATGTGTGTCGTGGAGGAGGTCATGAATATGCTCTGTGTGTAATGTGTGTCGTGGAGGAGGTCATGAATATGCTCTGTGTGTAATGTAATGTGGTGTCGTGGAGGAGGTCATGAATATGCTCTGTGTGTAATGTGTGTCGTGGAGGAGGTCAGAATATGCTCTGTGGGTATGTAATGTGTGTCGTGGAGGAGGTCATGAATATGCTCTGTGTGTAATGTAATGTGTGTCGTGGAGGAGGTCATGAATATGCTCTGTTGTAATGTAATATGTGTCCGTGGAGGAGGTCATGAATATGCTCTGTGTGTAATGTAATGTGTGTCGTGGAGGAGGTCATGAATATGCTCTGTGTGTAATGTAATGTGTGTCGTGGAGGAGGTCATGAATATGCTCTGTGTGTAATGTAATGTGTGTCGTGGAGGAGGTCATGAATATGCTCTGTGTGTAATGTAATGTGTGTCGTGGAGGAGGTCATGAATATGCTCTGTGTGTAATGTAATGTGTGTCGTGGAGGAGGTCATGAATATGCTCTGTGTGTAATGTAATGTGTGTCGTGGAGGAGGTCATGAATATGCTCTGTGTGTAATGTAATATGTGTCGTGGAGGAGGTCATGGTGTGAGTGTTAGTCAGGCTGACCTGGCTTTTGGACCATCTTCTGCAGGTGCTGGTCCAGGTACTGTTGCCTAGTAGTGAGGGTGGTCAGCCACTGGTCCCTCAACCTCTCCAGATCTCCTTCCTACACACACACACACACACACACACACACACACACACATTCCCCTAAGACCCTGGTACTATCTGAACTTGTCCAATAAGAACAAAGTTGAGTTTTGCTATGGTGTGCCCTACTAAACACAACCCCCTGTGACTACTCTGCTTCACTCAACTCAAATGGGAGAATCTCAATTGCATTTTCTTGATTCCTCACGTCCTCTTTCATCACCTCCTAAAAACCCACTGGATGAGAAAGTCAGAGGGGAGGGACCTCTGACCTTCTAATCCAAGGTTTTTTGAGGAGGCGGCGAGGAGAGAGGACGCGAGGAATCGAGATTCTCCCAATGTCTCAGACTACCATAAACTGATTCCAGTCGGTATTACCTGATAGCTGTCCATGTCCTCATCCCAGGGGCGGGCCTGCCGTACCTCCACGTTGCCAATGGAAACAGAGAGGACGTTTGTGGCGATGAGGGGCATGGTTCCTGAGTCCTTTACGGACCGTACCTCCACCTTCAAACGACGAGACTGGCCCTGGGTGGGGGGGGGGGGGGTTAGGGGCATGGTTCCTGAGTCCTGCACGAACCATAACTCCACACGACAAGAATGACCCTACTAAACACACAACACCAGCTACCTGTTTGAGTAGGAAGATGCCCCCGGTGCGTACGTCCTTGGGTGGTAGGACCTCTACAGGGTTGAAGTCTCCTGCTTCATTCAGCTCCAACACCTGAACCCAGAGCTCCAGCCTACGGGTCACCTCACTCCACCTGGGGACACACACAGACCAGAACCAGACGCAGACCAAACACATCATTAAACCCAACCCAGACCAGACCAGACCCAGACCAGTCATTACACAAACACATACCCCGGAACCACTACCAAACCCAGTCATTACACCAGACCAGACCAGACATTACACCAGACCAGACCAGTCATTACACCAGAACCAGCAGACCAGACCAATCCAGTCATTACACACAACCAGTACCTATACCAGTCTTACAACCATACCAGACCAGTCCAGACCATCCATTCATTACACCATCCCAGAAATCCATTACAACATATTACACAAACACCAGACCAGACCAGTCTTACTACACCAGAACCAGACCAGTCATTACCAACCACAACACCAGACCAGACCAGTCTTACACCAGACCAGACAGTCCAGTCCAGACCAGGTCATTACAAACCAGACCAAACCAGTCAGACCAGACCAGTCATTACAAACTCCAGCCAGACCAGTCATTACAACCTAACCCGCCCAGAGCCAGAGACCAGACCAGTCATTACACCCAGACAAGTCCAGTCATTACAACCAGTCGCAGTCCAGTGTCTTGCACCAGACCAGACCAGCATTAACAGCCTACCAGACCAGACCGTCAATGCAAACCCAGACGCAGACCAGGTCCAACCAGTCATTTACATTACAAAAACAAAACCCAGACCAGACCATCATTCAAACCCGAGACCAGTCATTACCCCAGACCAGACCAGACCATCATTACAGGCCCAGACCAGACCAGTCAATTACACCATACCAGTCTTCACCAGACCCAGACAGACCATTCATTACAACCAGACCAGAACCAGACCATCTTACACCAGACCATACAGTCATGTAAACACCAACCAGTCTTACACCAACAACAAACAACACCAGACCCGACCAGTCTTACAACCAACCAGACCAGACCGTCATTACACCCATACCATTTCATACAACACCAGACCAGACCAAGTCATTGCAACCAGACCAGACCAGTCATTGCCCATAACCATACCAGACCAACCATTCATTTTGCAACAGACTCAGACCAGTCTTACCCCATACCATACAGTCATTACACCAGACCACAGACCAGTCATGACAACACCAACCAGACGAGTCCATTGCACCCTACCAGCCATACCAGTCATTACAACAGAACCAGAGACCAGTCCATTAAATTTACAACACCAGACCAATCATTGCCACCAGACCAACCAGTCATTCACCAGAACCACAGACCAGACCAGTCATTACCACCAGACCAACCACGTCATTACAACACACCAGACCAGTCATTATTAACTTACCCAACCAACCAGTCATTGCACCAGACCATACCAACCATAACATACCATCTCATTACACCCATACACCAGCCGGACCAGTCATTACAAAACCAGTCCATACTCAGTCTTACACACCAGACCAGTCATTACACCAGACCATACCAGTCATTACACGAACACCAGCCAGACAACCAGTCATTACAACCAGACCAATACCAGACCAACCAGACCAGCCAGACCAGTCCTTACTAACGAACCATACCAACCAACCAGACCCGACCAGACCATTCATTACAACCAGACAGACCAGGACCAGACCAGACCAGACCAGTCATTACACCAGACCAGTCCAGTCATTACACCAGACCAGACCAGTCATTGCCCCAGACCAGACCAGTCATTACACCAGACCAGACCAGTCATTACACCAGACCAGTCATTACAGCCAGAAACCAGACCGTCTTTACCGAACAACCAGACCAGTCATTACAACACCAGCCAGTCATTGCAATCCCCGACCAGAACCATTCATTAACAAACACCAGACCCAACATCATTACAAACCATCCTTCCCATCATTGCACCATACCCAGACCAGTCATTACACCAGACCAGACCAGACCAGTCATTGCACCAGACCAGACCAGTCCAGACCAGTCATTACACCAGACCAGACCAGTCATTACACCAGACCAGTCATTACACCAGACCAGACCAGACCAGTCATTACACCAGACCAGACATCATTACCCAGACCAGTTACATTACAACCAACCATACCAGACCAGTCTTACATACACCAGACCAGACCAGATCCAGTCATTTAATTACACCAGACAAGACCCAGTCCTTACACCAAACAATCCCATTCAGTACACCCGACCAGACCATTCATACACCAGACCAGTCATTTACACAACAACAATACCCATACCATACCAGTCATTGTCACCAGACCAACCATCTTGCACCAGACCAGACAACCATACCATCATTTGCACCAGAACCAACCATCATTACAAACCAGACCAGCAGTCATTACACCATACAACCAATTCATTACACAAGACCAGACCATCATTACCCAGACCAGTCATTGCACCAGACCAGACACATTCTTACACCAGCCATACCAAAACCAGTCATTACCACAACAAAACCAGACCAAGACCATCATTACAACACCAACCAGTCCATTACAACAACACCAACCACGACCATCATACATACCACCAGACCAGACCAGGAACCATACCGACCACAGACCAGACCAGTCCTTACAGCAGACAGACCAAACCCAAAGGGACCAGACCATACCAGTCATTTACACCAGACCACCAGACCAGACCAGACCAGTCATTACATACACCAGACCAGTCCGTCTAATTACAAATACCCCAGACCAACCAGTCATTGCACCAGACCAGTCCATTACAACCAGACCAACCATTCTTACACCAGACCAGCTTTCAACCAGAACCAAGTCATGGCACCAGACCGACGCGCAGTCAACAAGTACACCAATGACCAAACCAGTCATTACAACACAGACCAGACCAGAACATTCCATTACACTTACAACACCAGCCATGTCATTACAACAACCAGACCATCATTACAATGACACCAGACCAGTCCATTGCCCGACAGACCAGTCATTGCACCAGACCAGACCATCATTACAACAAAACCAGACCAGACGAGTGTCCATTACAAACCAGCCAGTCCATTACTTACCAACCAGTACCATTCATTAACCCCAGACCATTCATTACAACACCAGACCAGTCATTGGCACAGACCAGACAAGACCAGTCATTACACCATACCATTCATTAACAACCAGACCAGTCATTACCCCATACCAGTCATTGCACCGACAGAACCAACCAGTCATACACCAGACCATTCATTCCACCAGACCATCAGTTGCACCAGACCGACCAGACAGTCATGACCACCAACCAGTCATTACATACATCCAACCAGACCAGTTTCATTACACCAGACCAGTCATTACAACCAACCATCTTGCACCAGACCAGCCCTCATTAAATATTAGCACCAGCGACCATACCCAGTCATTACACCAGACCAGTCAATTGCACCAGAACCAGACCAACCGTCATTACACGCCCAGACCATTCATTACACAACACACCATACAGTCATTACACAACCGTCCATTACAACCAGACCAAGCATTACATACAAACCCCGAAAGACCAGTCATTACAATACACCAGACCAGTCATTACACCAGACCAGTCATTACACCAGACCAGTCATTGCACCAGACCAGACCAGACCAGTCATTACACCAGACCAGTCTATTAACACCCAGACGAGTCATTGCAACCAGACCACAGGCATTCACCAGACCAGTCATTATACACACAGTACACACCAGACCAGACCGTCTTACACCCACAGACCAGTCATTACCCACAACAGACACCAACCAGTCATTACAAACCAACCAGTCCATTACACAACGCATCCATTGCACCAGACCAGACCAGACCAGTCATTACACCAGACCAGTCATTGCACCAGACCAGTCCATTAAAAACACCAGACACTCAGTCTTAACCAGACCAGACCATCGATTACAAACACCAGACCAGTCATTTCACCAGAACCCAGTCATTACACCAGACCAGTCATTACACCAGACCAGTCATTACACCAGAGTCCTATTCATTAGTGCACATTTACCAAAAGAACACGTTTTGCAATGAAAAATAGAGTTTCTTATTGAACAAGTCCGGGTAGTCCCTCCTCGATTCGGTCCATTTTCATCCAATTGGTTTCTAGTGAATACAACCCAGTACACACCAACCCATATTTCCCCATCTACACCGGTAGACTCTTAATCTCCTACTATATATCTCACCTCTCTCTGAGGGTTCGTGTCTTGGCCTGAATGACCCCCAGGTCCCAGAGAGCCAGGTTCCTGCGGTGGTTCACCTGCTTATGTCCGAACACCTCGATGGCCAACGCCCCCTCAGCCACAAACTCCACAAACTCCTCAGACACGCACACCTCCAGCTCCTGGGAACACACACACACCACACACACACACACACACACACAACACGTACAGAGACACAAACATTGCTTGGCCACTGTTCCACACATCTTGCTTTACTCCGAGTAGGTTTGCAAATTCCTGGAAACGTTCCCAAAATTCCCAGATTTTCCAAAAATCGTGTTTTGAAGGATTATTTGAATCAAGAGGGAATAAGGAATAACCTGGGAACTAGTTCTGAGTTGGAGTGCCTGTTTTCCTATGTCTAATGCTATGGTTAATAAAACACACATCACATATGGCTTGCTTGGGTATCCCCCCCCGCTGCCTGTGTCTGCCTTGGTTAAGCACCGCTTGCCACTCTTCCCAGAAGAGTCCGATTCCACCTCGGTGGTCCGGTCCTATGTAGACTTTCGGGACCAGGCTAGCTAACAAGTTCTGCATAGCGTGCTAGCCAGGATAGCTAACTTGCAGAGGCGAGCTAGCTACTGCTAGCTATTCCGTCTTCCTAACAGTGGAATTGCTTGGGTAGCTCTCTTGTCTAGTATAAGAAGCTAGCGTTAAGTCGCTTGGTTATTCTAAACGGACTGTGCTGCGGTCAAAGAGGCTAGCTAACCTAACTTAAACTAGAAGCCTCATCCTGGCTAACGTCGGCTAGCATGCATAACTTCCGGCAAATTATTACTAGCTTTCCCCCGGGCCCTATGGCAACCGCATTCCTATTTCCAATTACTGGAGTTGGAAGGAGTGGGAGGAAGCGGAGGTTGCAGGGCACCTCTGATGAGGAAGCAGCCTCCGAGCCAGGGTGAGTGGTGAGCCCTTCACAGAAAACATTATTGTGACGTCAGTGCCCCCCACGTTTGGGGTGCTACGTCAGCCATTGCTGGAGCCGGGATTCATCCAGCACAACTTCTTTTGGAAGCTTGTCCATGTTTAAATCCCCCTCTGTTACCCCCTCTGTTACCTTGGGCTTGGTGAAGAGCGGTGTTAAGTTGAAGGAATGAATCCGAGCCTCAGGCTTATCAACTGTGGAAGATGTGGAAGGCATGGGCTTCCAGCGAGGCGCGGATTTCATTGGCCTTGTCAGGCGTGATTATAGATCCTTCAACTGAAGTCGTGAGAGTGCGACTCCCCATAGTATGTTGTACTGTTCAGGGAACAGTAGTTATAGTCATGTGGTGACAGACTCTTCTTTGGCTAATAAAATCACAGAAAAGGACATATGCCAAGGTTTGTAGGCCTCTCTATATGTGGCTAGTGACTACCCCATTCAGGGCCGGACTACCACATCCGGTCCCCCGGGGTACCTACCTCCAGGAGGGTGGCTAACTTCCTGCAATTCTAGAAATGTTACCATGATGCAGAGAAAACATTTTGCAGTTTTAAAGCACATTTTCAGAAATTCTATTCATATGCTATCTGGGGGGGGTGGCACATGCCCTGCGTGCACATTCGGCAATCCGGCCTCAACTCCATTGTCCCACCTTGCTACTGTCAAAAAGTACGGTGCAGAGGGGCTCTCTGCTGGTGGCTGATGGGGGCGAGGGCTCCACCTCCGGGGCGATGAACACAGGCTTATCCTGCCCCCAGAAGTGGTACTGGCAGAACACAAAGTTACACAGGTGGCGAGGAAGACCTGTAGCCTGCAGAATCCTCACCTGGAGACAGAGAGGGAGAGAGGAGACAGGAGGAGAGCGGAGCAGAGGAGATCTTTCTCATTTCCTTCTTCCTTCTAGCTTTCTCCTTTCATTCTCTCTCCCTTCTTCTCCCATCTCTCCTTTCTTTCTTTTCTTAATCTGTCTCTCCCCCTCCCTTCTGCTGCTCGTCCCTCTCTCTCTCCATCCTCTTCTCTCTTTCTCTTATTTCTTTTTTCTTCGTCACCCTCTCTCTCTCTCCGCATCTCCCGCTCGTCTATCTTTCTTACTTTTATCCTCCCTCGCTTCTCTCCTCCCTCCCCCCGTACTTGGCGGCTTTTTTTTCCTCTTTCCTATTTTAATTTTCTCCCTCGTTCCTCTCCTCCCCTTCTGTCTCTCTTTCTCTTTTCTTCTCTCTCTCTCTCTCTCTCTCTCTCTCTGCTCTCGTCCTCTCGGCATCTCTCTCTCGCTGCTCTCTCTTTCTCTTGTTCTTCTCCCTCTCTCTTCTCTCTATCCTCTCCCCATCTCTACCCCCGCTCTCTCTCTCTCTCTCTCGTCTCTATCTCTTTCTTCTCCGCTCTCATCTCTCTCTCGTCTTCTCTCCTGCTCTCTCTCTCTCTCTCGTCTATCGTCTCTCTCCAGGCTCTCTCTCGTCCATCCTCTCTTTCGACTCCCCCTTTCCCCTCCTCTCGTCTCTCTCTCTCTCTCCTCTCTCTGCTCCTCGTCTCTCTACTCTCAGTCTCTCTCTTCATCTCTCTCTCTCTCTGTTTCATTTATTCTCGCGCGTCAAACACTCATTTTTTTTCTCTACTCAACACATACTCAGCCCTTGACTATAGATTTTTAATTATCTTTCCATGATCCCCCCAGAAAGATACACATCTGACCAGCCCTGCAACTTAACGTATTCTCTACATTCAATTCTAAGCATCCAAGGGTTCCATATGGTGTATTGGTGGGAGCTGATTTTCGGATCGGACTGCTTACGGAGGTTTCAGTGTGTCCTGATGTCATCTCTTACCACACATTCATGTTTGCGCTTCCTGCGTCCTCTCCGTCTGGACTTGGCTTGTTGGTCTCTATTTCCCCTCCAGCCCCCTCGCTGCCCTCGCCACAAAAGCAATCCCCATTCCACGTGTATTACGGCCTGCCACCTAACATGGACAAACGATACAAAACAATCTCATTCAAACCCACAACACAACGGCCTTACAGTCTTCCACTTGGTTGATGGATTGGTACAGCGTATTGGCACGCTTGAAACTTTTATAGAACCAAAACAACGGCCGTACCGCTCCATTCTTGGTTTGGATTATAGGTACCCGGAACCGCGTATTGCACGCTTGACTTCATAGAACACAAGACGGCCTTCCTCTCATTTCTGTTGATGATCGGTACATCGTAATTGCAAAAAACTTTTGACTTTTATTAGAGAACACAAATACCTTCCGTCGAACAGCCCGAACCTCTCCCTTCGTTTATATTATCATGTACATCTAATTGCAAGTAGCTTTGACGTCGTAGAAGAGACATGCCAGAAAAACTTGGCCACATCCTCTCAGACTGTGGTTCTCCCCTCCTCTCCTGCTCGTAAAAGAACGGTTCGTGGCACGGCTTGAAGTAGGAACGCCTCACCTGGAGAGAGGGGACATTTAGGGAATGGGATAGGATTGAACACGAGGGGGTAAACGGGGAGAGAGAAAATACAAATTGTGGTAACTTTTTATAATTTATACAATGGTTTATTTAATTTGATTAGTATTCAATTGTTTGATTAAAATTGTTATAATGTATACAAGTGTGTTGATTTTTAGCATTTTTTTTAGTTAATGTGTTAGAGTGGATACATCTGGTTTTAATTAATTTGTATAAGTAGGATACATGGTTATTGAAGATTATATTTTAGAACAAACTTTTTTTATTTAGTTTTTAGATATTTATACAGGTGTTTATGAAATTTGGATTATTTAGACAAAAGTTTGTTTACTGTAAAATTTATGTGTGTAGACTCTTTAATTAAAAACTCTTTTTTAGAATATTTAACTTTTTATATACATTTGTTGTAGATTATTTTTAAGTATGTTATATATGTATACACCCAATCAGCATAGTGTTTTCTTCTTTACATTTTTTTACTGGACTTTTTATATCAGTTTATACAGTTTCATTTTTGTTATGTAAATTTTTAGAGAGTTAACATATGTTGTCTGTATTTTTAGTTAAGTTAGCCATGATGCTTTTTGATTTTAAAAATTAAACCCCTCTCCCTCCCCCCCCTTATTTTTTTATCCCTTCAGAGGTGGATACTTGTTGATTAAAATCCTATTTTTATTATGTAGACATTTGTGATTACAGTTTTCTCTCCTGAAGCACTAACCCTTTCTCTCTTCTCTTTCCGTTTGCAGCCCGTGTTTTCTGTCCTTTTGACCGTGTTCATAAGTTTCGATGTCTCCATTTTTGGCATTGTTACATTTTTTCTTGTACGTTTTATAAAATTTATACAGTTTCTGTATTAGCTTTTTAGATGCAAGTGTATCTATTTAGACATTTTTTTAATTATTCCCCCTTTTTCGCGCATTTCCTGGTGCTCGAAGTTTGCTCCCCCTTACTTCCCGCCCTTTTTTTTCTGGCCTTATGGCCTCGCTTGTTACCGCCCTTTTGCACCCGCATTTTGTGCTTGCCCTTTTTCTTCTCAGTCTCCCCTTTGTCTCGTATCCTTTTTCCTCTCAGCGGTACATCACCACATCTTTTCTTCTTTCTTCTTTCCCTATTCTTCTTCTCTTCTCCCTGCTCTTTTTTCTCTTTCCTAGGGTGTGTCATCCTCTTTCTCCCCTTTTTTTCGTTTTCTTTGAGATGTTAACCTGTACTTTGGGTAGAAGATGATGATAGTAGAATAAGAGTAAGGAGAGTTTGTAAAGAGTGCACAGTAAAACGCTGTTAGGAAGAAGTAGAGACAGAACCTGTAGAGATACGAACAAGTCACCTGGGTAGGAAGACGAGACGTAACTTCGGTAAAAGAGACTAGACAGTAACCTGGTAGAGATATACGAGACATTATAACTGGTAGAAGGAACAGACAGTAACCTGGTAGAAGAGACTGACATAACCTGGTAGAAGTAATGAGACAGTAACCTGTGACAGACAGTACCTTGTAGAAGAGACGAGAACCGAACCCTGTAGAAGAGACGAGACAGAACCTGGTAGAGCGAGAGAGCAGTAACCTGGTAGAAGAGAAGAGACGAGTAACCGGTAGAATAACGAGACAAGTAACTTTGTAGAATATAACGAACAGTAACTTTGTGTAAGACATATTACGAACAGTTAACTTGGTAGAAGATACTAGACATGTACCTGGTAAAGACAGCCAGGTCACCCACCTGGTAGAAGAGACGAGACAGTAACCTGGTAGAAGAGACGAGACAGTAACCTGGTAGAAGAGACGAGACAGTAACCTGGTATAGAAAGAACGAGACAGTAACCTGTATAAGAGACTTACCTGGTAGAAGGAGGACAGTAACCTGGTGAATGAGACAACGTAACCTGGTAGAATAGACATACCCTGGTAAATAGCACAGAAACCTGGTGAGAAGAGACGAACGTAACCTGTATAAGAGCCAGTACCTGGTAGAAGAGACGAGACCGTAAAACCTGGTAGAAGGTGAGCAGAGACAGTACCTGGTAAGAATAGCGAGACAGTAACCTGGTGGAAGAGCCGAGACGTAACCTGGTAGAATAACTCGACATAACCTGGTATAATAGACGAGACAGTACCTGGTAGAGAGACGACATTAACCTGGTATAAGATACGAGGACTAAAGTAAGCGGTAAGTGAGGAAAAATAACCTGGTAGCGATACGAACAGTAAACCTGTGTATAAGAGAGAGAACGTACCTGGGTATAAGATACAGACAGGAACTGGTAGAATATCGAGAACAGTACACCTGGTGAAATACGAGATGTACCTGTGGTAGAAGAGACGAGACAGTAACCTGGTTGAAGAGATGAGACAGTAACCTGGTAGAAGAGACGAGACAGTAACCTGGTAGAAGAGATGAGAAGTAACCTGGTAGAAGAGACAGTAACCTGGTAGAAGAGACGAGACAGTAACCTGGTAGAAGAGACAGTAACCTGGTAGAAGAGACGAGACAGTAACCTGGTAGAAGAGACTATACAGTAACCCTGGTAGAAGAGCGAGACAGTAACCCTAGGTACGATAGACGAGACATTACCCTGGTGAAGAAGAGACGAAAGTAACCTGGTAGACGAGACAGACAGTAACCTGGTATAAGAGACGCATAACGCTGTAGCCGATACTAGACAGTAACCAACACTGGGTAGAAAGAGACGATACAGTAACCTGGTAGAAGAACGAGACATAAACCTTGTAACGATGACGAGACATTAAGCCTGGTAAATATACGAGACAGTAACCTGGTAGAAGAGACGAGACAGTAACCTGGTAGAAGAGACGAGACAGTAACCTGTTATAAGAGACTAGAAGTAACGTTGTAAAAGATGAGACAGGTAACCTGTATAAGAAAGACATAACCTGGGTAAGAGAGATGAGACGGTAACCTGGTATAAGATACAGTAACCTTGGTAGAAGAGACAAGACAGTAACCTGGTAGAAGAACCAGTAACTGGTAGAAGAGACGAGACAGTAACCTGGTAGAAGAAGTCAGTGGATCCACATCACTCAGGTTCAATCTCGCCTCGTCAAAGTTCTTCTCTCCACACACACACAAGGTTAAACTCACAGGGTTGTCTTACCACGTATTCTTTTTTCCTCCATCCTGGTAAGTTCTTTCATGTCCGCCAGTCTGTTCTCCAGCTTCTCCAGATCCCCAGATTCTGTTTTCCCTTTAACAACCCTTTAACGTCTCCCCTGCACCGCCGGCTCACTTAGCCCGCATCACGCTGAAAGATAGAGCGAGAGACAGAGTAGCGAGGAGATAGATGAGAGGATAGGGGATAGGAGATTATCATTAGCATGAGAGTAGACATGGAGTCTAGGAGAGTCGATGAGAGGAGCGTCTCTTCTCCTGCTCTTACGCTTAGCATTACTGCTTCTCTTATTCTTCGCCTTCTCTTCGCTTCGCTCTCTTTCTACTTCTCGTCACTCGTGCTCTGCCGTCGCTCTCGCGCTTTTTTTTTTGTGAATAGGAAACACTTTGGTTTTCACCGGTGCAACCCACACCTCCTTGGACAAACATTGACACACTACTGTAGCTAATGTAAACTGATAATGGTTTATCATGCAGCACACGCAACCTACCACCGTACCTTCCTGTTGGCGTCGAGGTGTTAGGCACAGCAGGTCTTTGCAGTGTGACCAGACCCTGGATTAGCTAGACTCTGGTCCTCTTGTTGAGTTCCTCAGCTTAACCCCCCAGCCTTCACTCCTGCACGCATCAGTTAGCTCTGATTTTCTTTCCTCTCAGTCCTATATACTCAGTGCAACAAGGTCATCATCGCCTCTCTAATGAGGGAGTGGCAGACACAGACACAGACAGAGACAAGACGCAGACAGATAGACAGAGACATATAGACAACGAGAGACAGACAGAGAGACAAGACAGACGAACGAGATAGACACAAGAGACAGAGAGACGAAGAACACAGATCAGATAGACAGAATATACATAGATAACCTAGATACATAGATATGCTACGAGTACCCAGAGGAGTACAGAGAGCCAAAGGAGACAGATACAAGAGACAGAGATACAGAGAACATATAGACAGAGAGACGATACAACAGAGACAACAGACACCCGAGCAGACAGAGACAGACGACAGAACATAGAGACACGATAAATAGAGAGCGAGAGAGAGAGAGACAGTTTGCAATCACAGCAGAAATGTGTGGCCTCTTTGCCATGAGAAAAGGGCAACCATAGAGCACAAACCACATTGTAAATACCTAAGCCACCAATATTAATTTGATTTATCTTCCTATAACGATTCATAAACTACAACTATTAGCACCATTGTTAATAATACACTTTACACACTGATTTGCTAAACTGGGT